AACTAAGGCAACCTGAGTAATATTATATTGAACGAGAACACAAGTGGGTACAATCGAATGTATTTCAACACAAAATTATGGAATATCTTAGTAAAATTTGAGAACCATAAAGTAAATACTTCATTTGCAAAATATCAGTCGATCGTCTTGCACTTCATTGTCCTTTTGTTTCCACAAAAATCACTCACTGTTCTCATTCTCTTGTTTTCGATTTTTTTAACCTTCCGTCACGAGGTATTTCACTTTCGGTCGATGATACACACTACTTATATCTGTCGATAACAGTGGCACACAACACAGTATGATCATCAATAAACAATAGATAATGTAACAGTGGTTATGGACCATAGTTTTTAGTCATAAACGACTGAATTTTAAACCCTCGTATAAGCTTGAAGAAACTCGCTTAAAAATATTTTCTTCTATTTACTTTCAAAAAGTACAAATTTCCTTACGGCTATTATTCTTATAATTATTTTTAAGTCGATGCCACACACCATCTGTACAAAAATCTTTTAAAATATGCACATAATACATTCTGTGAACATGTTCCTCATTTCATTTATATAATTGTGTGTATGTGTATCTGTAGTCATGGCAATATATATCATTTTTTTACATTCAGACATAATGTTGGTAAAAATTTGTAATCATTTTGTCTGCAAAAAAAAATTTGTTACCATGTAATTTGTAGAATATTATGAATATGATTTAGTTGTAGATTATTTTGTCCAATAATTAGCACTGTTGGTTATTATATCAATAATAATATCATCATTTCAGACTAGTACATTGGATTTTGAATGAATGCTTTTTTTATTTGTTAAAATAGACAAAATTAATAACTAGATTGAATGTTAAATGTTACATAACCTCTTGACAGTCAATTCTCTTTGTAAATTATTCAAGTCTTTGATTATCTTGATAATTTTGATAGCTAAGTTCTATGACCAATGAATAGTATGGAAAAAAAGTAGAAATGAAGATATATTTTCTTGTTTGTAGTAGTGTAGTGAACAATAACACAAGTGGGAACAATCGAATGTATTTAAGCACAAATTACAGACTATCTCACTAAATTCTGATAATTATATAGTGAACAGTTAATTTGCAAAATAACAATCCACTGCCTCAATCTTGACTGTTGCTTCTGCAAATATCAGTCCATCTTCTCTGGTTTTATTGTTCATGCATTTTCGTACCGATCGCGCTTCATTTCAGTTCTTTCTTTCTCGATCTTCTGCTAAAATACATTCTATGTCTGACAATCACCATATACTACTTTTATGGATATAAGTAACTGACACCACAGCAGTTCACGTTTGTCTATTGCAAATTTTGAAGAAAATATACATCATTTTGATGAATGAAATGTTGTTCTATACAGTTACAAGCTGTTATTAAACACTTATTACTCCTTCTCATTCAAAAATGATTATTTCTAATAATACTTGATACAAAAGTGTACAACATACTATGAAAGTGGAATACATATTGTATTGAGTTAAAATTTCAACTGCTTGGTTAACTTTGAAGTAACCAGACTAAAATATTTATATATTTACTCCTCAGAAGAAACAAACCGTACAATATGCAGGTTCTTGAAACTTTTATAATTTATTAATTAAAGGAACATTTAGTAAGTCTTACTAATTGAACGCTATACTCAGTTCCTAAGCCATTCTCGTAACCCTCAAGATAAAACTATATAGCAACGTGAACACGAGAGAAAAGGCGCAAAATATACGAGAAGCATTTTACTCAAAAGGTTCATTAATGTACGAAAAATTTAGGGATTTTATAGTATTTCAGAAGTCCTTAGGTTTTCCCGAAAATTCTGGGATTCTACGAAACATCCTAGCAGTGTGGTAATCAACCAATCAGAAACTCTACATGTGACTTTTCATTTTTGTGTTGTTTCTAGCAAAACTTCTAGTTGAACGCTGATTAGATAAAATGTTTCTTAGTGTTTCGTGATCCTTTCTTGTCTTTTGCGAGAACTTTTCTGGATCAACCCAATGACTCTCTACAGTAGAGTTTTCTCAAACAGTTCTTTTCTCATAACTCTCTATAACAAACATTGATTTAAAAGAGGATTATATAAATAACCGTAAAGTTAAACAAAGTGAAAAGCTTTTGAAAATTTTAGACAGAAACTACTTCTTAGAAGTTGAATTCATGCATTATAATAGTGAGTGCCATTAATTGATTCCCGATTGCGAAAATTAAGTTGAACGGACGGATTTGTTTAACTAAAGTTTTATGAACGAGTTTGAAATGCGATATCTGGAAATCTTGACAAAAGAAATAAAGTGATAAGTTTATGAATAGTTTAGTTTCATTTACCACATTCGTATTCTGTAAATAAACTGTTGATACTCATATTAACCATCATTAAAGTGACTTAAACGGATTATTAAGAGAAATTTACCTATTATGCTATCTTCGTGGAACAATAATGCCATTAATGCAAATAAAGTAAGTGTCAATAAATAATGTTATTGACAGAACTGATTGTCGAACGCTAATTGAGTAGACTTCAGAAGATAAAACAGTTAGTCATCTGAATGGAGATATACAAAAAATACTAACCACTTTGTTAACTATCAATGTACAGAATGACCATCTAAAAATATTCTTCCTAACCTATCAAATAGAAAAGATTTTCAAACAGGAACAAAAATGAAAGACTATTAAATGATCCACAATATTATACTAGAACTTTTCATAAATATTACCCAATTATAATTTGTTTGAATGGATAATGGTTCCTTTTGACGGACATTATAGATTATTTATGTATTACCCCACAACATAATTTGAATACCCGAAGTCATGTTTGTTCATGTTAAAAGTAAAGGATTCAACTAAGAGAATTAATAAGCTTCTATAACCTTATTCCACGGTTGTGTACCCTTTTGTATATATCAGTAGTCAGAACAACAAAACAAAGACGATTGTAATTGAATGCGGTACTTGGATGCACAAATTAATTGAGTGTTTAAATAAAGAATGTGACAAACTATGCTTTTAATAGTTTTTAATGAATAAATTATTGTATTTACCCCGGAAAACGGGCCTTGATATATCATCAAACAAACTCTAAGTCAGTTACAAATGAATATGATTGTACCATCGATGTAGTGAAAATGGTTTTTGAGTGATTATAACTCTACCATTTCATCATAAATGCTTAATACTTAAACCGTAAAAACTTATAACCTGGTGATAATATCATTTACATCAAGTCTAAAATACAATCTAACAGATGTGAATCAGATGTGGTTTTGTGGAGATTTAGTATTTTCATAGTGCTTCCAGGTTTTCCTTGGTGGTCTAGCTTCAATTGACTCACGCTTTCAACTTTCAAAGATGTGAATCAAGCTAATATTTCCATTTATGCATTACGAATTCATTTCACAACAAGAATGTTTAAAATAAATGTCGCGAAGATTCAACTTCTTGTCAAAGCAAAGTTTTTTAGTCCAGTAGTTTTCATTTGGTTTACCTACCCTTGTTATATTTCCTCAATGTTTCCCATTTTTTTCATCATTATTGCTACAAGAAAAACCAGGATGTCTGCAAATTTTGCTATTCTGATTAATTTATTTTAATGAATATAAATCGGTGAAAAGATGTAGTAGGTTATGTAATAGTATTACAGTTGTGTATCGTTGTATTACGGTCAGTAACAATAATTAGGATACTAGGCCATATGTAAAATTACTTGTCAAAAATGTTTCTAACAGGTGATTTATATTCATAACCTTTCTATATTTTATATTTTTCTTTCCCATTCATGCTTAACTTTACTATTTTTCCAAGGTACATATAATTTACCATTATAATTATCGTGCCATTTTCACTTGATGTTGTTTACTTGTATCGTGCCATTGTTTTTCTTATATTTAAGAGCTTCCTGAATCTAATTTCCTTTAAAATTAGTATTCTGTCTTAATTTCTTATGCATTATATTAAAGTGTATTCTGATTAAAACTGCTATTACTACAACAGTTTGATGAACTATTTATATGAAATCTTTAATGAAAATTGGATCCAATGGTTACATTCTTTAATCAAAAGTCTTGGTATTGAAGTTGTAATTACTGAAGCTTGGATGATGTGATTCCAGTTAAATTGAGTAGTGGTATCTGAAATCAATCAATAGTTTTGACACTCAAGTCTTTTCAAGGGAATATATTTCTATAATATGGTAGTGAACGAACACCTAGGTGGGCACAACCAATTTATCGTTTATCATAAAATTACAGAATATATTGACAAAATATGAGAACCAGACATTGAATGCTTCATTTGTTAATCTTTTATCAATTGTCCTTTACATTCTGTCTGATTCTTTCAATTCACAATTCTTTCCTATTTTCCTGTCTGTTTCCTTCAATCCTATCGTCTTCGCCTTCTATTGTCAGCCATTCAACATTCGATTGGTTACATAATATTTATATCTGTCAACATAAATATCATATACCATAATATCACCGCAACTATTTGATACAGTTTATCCAAACATTTATCCACATTTCACAGAGCTAATCAGTTTAATTTTATGAATTAACTAAATGATGGGAAATAACTTGTGAAAATAAAGATAAAGAAACATCTCCATCTACTGATTGCCCTACCTATGAAATGATATTTTGAATTGATGCGAAACTGTTTCTGAAGTCGTGATGTACGAAACGTCGCAGACTATTCCGAAGGTTTTAAAGCTAATACCTTGACATATATTTAATTTAAAATAGTATTTCATTTAAGGAGTAGTCTTTCCTCTCATCTTCGAATAATATAAGTAAGGATAGTGTTATATACTGAAGCTTCTATCTATTGTTACTTATTATCAATAAAGTTAACAAAACGGCAAAAGAATAAATAACTAACACCCATTATTTAGGATAAAGTAAGAACCGATATGGCTTTAAATTAAGATAAATTTATAACAACATATTACATTTTTTTATTTGTTTCACTTTATTATTTAGCTGATTCCATCATAACTCAAGATGTCGAAGAAGGAATTTTGGTTCGAATTTTATGCAATGTAAGTAGTGATGAGAAACCCGATGGTGCTGGTCCATTTCGATATGAATGGCGTAATCCAAATGGTACATTAGTTGGAACTCAATGGAAATTAGAATTGGGTCACATCAAAGTACATGAATCAGGGATATATGTCTGCCGTGTATCATATGAATTTGATAAGAGACAAATGTCTACCAGCTCTGCGACAAAAATAAATGTTATTCCACGTAAGTTTTTTCACATCGTATTCTCCATAGATCCAATGTAGTAACATTGATTTTACATTTAGGTTTCGCCTATTTATATGTTGCTATTAAAAAAGTATAATTATTATTGTTCGAATTTGGTTCATTGACTCAGAATCTCGACCCAACTATAGCATCTGAGCTGATTATGTATCTCATGATCCTAACAATAAAATAATATCACCATATCTCACACACATCTGGTTCATAGCACGGATAAATTACGTGTAACCCAAAAAACTAAGAAAGATGAGGTTTACCTTCCGAATTCTACAAGTTTATCAACATTTTTAGCCATACGAAAACCTACGTATGTTCTTTATGAAAAAACTAGTTTTAAACATTATTCCAATGAATATTTAGGTAATACACATTCTCTACAATGTCATATTTCTGTTATTATCAAAATGAACTTTAGTATTATGAAAAACTATAAGAACTACATAGAATTAATTATGTATTGTATTGTTAAATGTATTACGTGACGACGAATATAATAGTACTTAGCAATTTTCTGGTCGAAATCATGAGTCAGTTTAAGCTAGACCACCATGGAAAACCTAGAAGCACTGGACGGCCGTTTCGTCTTAGTATGGGACTCCTCAGTACTGCGCATACACCATCCCACTCACGGGATTCAAACTCAGGATCTCTCGCCCCCGCGCACAATCACTTAACCTGTAGACCACTGAGTCGGTGTTCAACGGTGTTAATGACTAACTTTAACCAATTCACTAAATAAAACAAACGTCCACCATTGTTTACTATCTTACAACAGACCTGGTTGAATTTCATTGGTCACGGCTTTTCACTATAACTCTAGGAAATATCAACTGATCGAAGTTAAAATATTACTTAGTTCAAATATTTTCGATATCCCAGAGTCACCATCTTCAATTTTGAATTGGAAGTATTTAGATGTAACAGCGGTAACTGTTTTTTTTTGATAAGTGCTAATGAAAATAATAAGACGAACTTAAAAATTATTATTCTTTACGACTTCAAAGTAATCCAAACAACAACAGACCCCTTTTGGGTGCTATGTACTACTTGGATTCAAATAATAGATTGTTGTTCACCTGGTTTCTTTGCTCAAGTGGACACTTGTGGGTATTGATCTACTCGTATATTTATGGGAATTATATGTCAGCTGAACTCTAGTGGATATTTTTTACAGTATGTGGATTGAGATGAATGTTAGATGTTATTGAGATCATTGGCCAACCTAAGTGAAACAGTCAATGTAGTTTTCAGTAGTCTACAAACTTAGAGGTATTAATTAAGTATTTATGTAAATTCAGGATCGAATTATTTAGTAGACGCTTCGAACAAAACGTTCAAACTACCATAGGGAGCCAGGTGATAAAAATCCGTTTTAATAAAGTCAGTGACGAAAGATAGTTTTAATACTTCTTATGATATTCCTTAGAATTATTTTTCTTAAGTATTTAAATTGTCTATGACATATATTATGTATCAAACTTCCCCCTTCCTTAAGGCTTATTACTCTTCCACTGACCAATTATGTTCTAACCATAGTATATTTATGTATACATATTAATCATTAAACATAATCTTTTTGTATAAAACGTTAACCAACTATGAGGTTTAGTTTGCTACATAGATAAGAGGCATAAGAACGTAAAATTCTAATATATAATAAATTGTATTTTAATAAACGAAAACACAGTTGGGGACAACCAAGTGTTTACTAGCACAGAATTACAGAATCTCTTAGTAAAATGTGAGATCCATGCATTAAATGCTTCATTTGCAAAATTTCATCATTTGTCCTTTCCATTCTATATGATTCCTCCAAGTCACAATCCCTTTCTATTTCTGTTTCTGTTTTCACTTCAACTTGATGATCTTAGCCTTCTTCTGTCGGGGTTCCCACTTCCGATTGATATTATGTGCTACTTATATCTGTCGACATAAGTAGCATACACACAGTATCAGCAGAAATCTTAAAACTAATCATAAAATAAAAATAGCTAAAAAAATGAGATTGGCAGTATAAATTTGTGAAGAACGTTTAAGCTACAAACAGGTTTAAGTAAGAAACTGTAATCGGCAGATTTCAACCTTGTCCCAGCGGAGACAATGGAAGAAAATCACGCGATATCATGGATTGATTTAAGTTAAACATTTATAACATTGATTACTAACACAGCGGACTGCATATTGAGCGTTTTCTCGTCAGACTGGAGGTCTTTCTTTCGATTCCCGAGTGCGGGGTCGTACACGCTCACTGCTGACGAACTATATACTAAGAAGAAACAATTTTTCACCACCTCCAAGTTTCAGTGGTCGGGTCATGATATTAACAAATGAGATTAGTCATTGATTTTACATAAACATATCACTAACTTTGTAAGCAAAGATGGATAGTGGCTAGCAGCAGAATCGAGGACGCGCGTCTCGTCCTATTTGTGACTTGTCAGTTGGATGTACCTGCATCTCAGAGTTGATGTTCACTCTGAGACTCGAACTCAGTACCTTTCGCTTCGAACGCCATCGTTTTATCCACTCAGCTACTGATTCCGGATAGCCACTTGCTCGTGCAATGGGATGAAGTTTAAGTTCACTTAGTATTGTTTGTGAATTAAGGCTATATCGAGGCAATACGCACAGTATACACATATGACTGACCAGTTGCAGTCGTAAACATCAATGGGAAGATCCAAACAAACAATACTAAAAGAATTTTTATCACTAACTGTTTTGAAATGGAATCAGATACTTGTTGAAGGAATTGGATGATCAGTTCGAACAAGAACCTATACCATTATTATTATTATTATTACTAGTATGATTAAACTTTAAATAGTGAACTAGTGAAATAATATTAAAACCAGTTAAACAAAATAAAGATGGACAAACAACTAAGTCATCTTCATGTCGGTGAATTGATTAGTGATACTGGTAGTTAAATAACCATATTAATCAATCTATATACTATAACAAGTTGTATTAGTAGACTAATTTTATTTCTTAAAATACAACTTTACTATGCATAAATGTTTAGTGAAAAAAAGGTCAAACATTTTATGAGAGAATTAATTATAATGAATGTTCACGAAATAACCCAATCAATATTATAATGTGAGGTATCACTAAGTGTTAAACTGAAATGTACATTAGATTTTAAACAGTTTCTAAGGTGAAATTATCCGATAAGTGGCCCTATCTTTTGATTAAGATGAAAATGAATTATGGTAAAAAGTATTGATTCGAGCTTTTATTTAATCAAAATTCATTTGATTTCAATATCTAAGTTTAATTAGTTAACATAATGACTTATGAATAATGAAAAATAAGTTTGGTATAAATCAATGATTTACACTAATCAAAAACAAATAGACTGAATGTATATGGTATTCTTAAAGTGTATTCAAGTTTATTTTTTTGTAACCGACATTTTATACTGAATAACTAAACATTTGGATATGTGATGACATATTGGATTATGTATTGCAATTAGTACAGTATTTTAGTGTTAAAACTGCTGAAGTTATTGGGGTTGATATTAGGACAATTGGTTATTTTTTCTATTTTCATAGTCCTTAGTTATTTCGAAAGCTAAAACTTACAGTGCAGACTATTGGCAATCTGTTATGTCCTTAGCTATACGATTATTGCGAAATACGATTGCTAATTTAGACACATTGAATTAAGCGACCAGACTAATAGCACATAAACCTGTACGAGCAGCCTAGAGTTCCTATGGTCCACCGAGAATAATAGTCATTCTCCTAACCCAGCCAGTTTAGTCCAGAACGTCGATATCAGCCTTCGCGATACTAGTCATATACTTCAAACATACTTAGTTTATATACAAGTAAAATCAGACCACATCACATCATAAAATAGAAACATTTGTACAAGATGAAGCTAAAGGTAGCTGTGATTCTAAGAAACTGTTACTAATAAATTGAGAATATATCTGAGGAATAGTAAATCGCATGATAATAGTCAATAAGTCAAATAAAAGCTTATAATAAAAGCAATATGAGTATACATATAATATAGTTACTTATAGTAATACAATAAGAATATTCGTATAATATTAGTTCATAAGTAATAACTAGCGGTTATCATCCATTTATACCCGTCCAGATATAACAAAATCGTTAATCTGTCGTTCAATATTTATTTATTAAAATTTTTTTGATAGATTGATTACACAATTAAAAAAATTTATCTAATGAGGTAACTGTGGACATAATTAACGTTTTCATATTTTTGAAACTAGACCTTTTCTCAGTATTTTCCGTCGTGAAATAGTCTGATAGAACTAGTTAAAAGGATTCACTCAATTTAAAATTGGAAAATCCTTTTCGTTAAACGGATATACTAGCGCAAATACTACTCTAAGAGTACCACATACACAAGGTCAATATGTTTTTGGCTAAGAAGCTGACATACATGTAATAAGAATGGTTATGTTAAATTTGAATTCACCACGCAGCCTATCGTTGCATTAGATACATTAGTCCCAGCGTTCTGTTGTGGTATTTCCAATTTCAGTAATTCTAAGATTTAGAAAGTTGAAGAATATATCTTTTAAACAATACTACTCTCTCTCTCTGTAAATATATATATATATATATATATATATATATCTGAGCGTCCATCTTGGTTAGATGTTATATGGAAATAATAAACTCATATGATTTTCATAGTTTAAGTGGAAAGTATAGTCATGAAATAAAAGTAGATTTCGAAACATAATATTTGTCACTAATTTTGTCTGCTTTTATAATCATATATGCTTCCAAGAAGCTACTTGATTACGGTAGTATTGTATAGTCTGTCTAAATTATGTAGTTTAGTTTATCCTGTCAAAGGATTGCTGAAATTGTACGACTTGTTGAGTTCTTAAATTGTTCACGTTAATCTCATGGTCATGACAACTGTAGTTATTCGGTAATATTCAATTGCTTCTATGATTTTCTGACATGGTATTTATATTAACAAGTTTTCAATTTCTTCCTAATAGTCCAGATTTCGGTTATATAATATCTTGTAGATTGGAGAAGTTACTTACTAAAGATAACCTTATTAATTTCCTTAAACTACTATAAAAATGGAAACGCCAAATGCAAAACTGTTAATCTTAAGTTAATAACAGGAATTTTGATTTAATCACTCTTATCTCCTCACTTAATTTCTAAGTTGAAAACTACAATTCAGCTTACTTACTTTTCCTCTAGGTTAAGTCTGCGGTTATTGAAATATACATCGAGTTTAATTTTCATTGGTGCTTTAGGTAGTTTTCCTCATTCACTTAAAGTTGTTTAAATAATTTTGTGAATGCTATTCATCAGTATTATTTAATAATCGGATGAAACTTTCTAAAATACAGAGATACCTTAGAAGTTGAGTTATTTTCTAATTAACATTGCTTTGGTCGGACTTTATCAAGCGATCGTTAAAAACTTTTCGTAAACTAACAATTATTGGTATTCACAGTGCTTATTTGTTTAGTACAGTATCAGTAATATTTTGAAATAAATAACTACTTTATAAATATTTCAAGTTAACCTGTTTATAAACAAATCGAAATATTAGCCTCTAATAATGTCAAATCTTTGGTATTAATTTTATTGAATAGGTGCCGGTGTAATATTTCCAGGGATTCGTGGAAACGTATTAGAAGTTTTAGAAACTGGTGATATTTTGCAAGAATGTCAAGTAGTCAGTGCAAAACCATCTCAGTATAACTTTCAATGGTTTGGTCCAGATGGTCGTTTAATATCTAATTCCGCATTTCTTCAAAGAGATTATATAACAAGACAACGAGATGAAGGTATTTACCGATGTGTGGGTAGTCCAATTGAAGAAGGAAGATTACAAGTCGAGAATAGCCTAATTGTAACAACAGCACGTAAGATTAATGATACTGTTTAAGTTATCTACGCATAGTTTGTTTAAATAGGTAAATTAGTATTTTTTGGGGGCACGAGAGAAGCGTTTTACTTTTAAAGTAAAAAAGCAAGTTTAGTAGATTGTAAGCAAATTGTATTCGACATTAAAAATTTATTCAGTGCTAAATTTGTTGAATAATTTACCGTGAAAAAAGAAGATAAGCGAAACCCAGAAAAAAATGTAGCGAGAGTCCCTTGGTTCAATAAATTCTACTGGATGACATTTACAAAAGTCTTCAATAATAAAAGTTTACATTCGTAAATGAAAATGGGTATCGGAGCAGTGGGAAACTACACTAAATTGCAAGATGTTTTTAAACTAAAGCTTTCAGTATTCAACTTAATATTTACTATTGCTATTACAATATCATTATGGAACTAAAGAAAGGTATATTGTAGCTGAGCCTCTTCACTTCATTATTTATTTGGTCTAGACTTTTGTTTATTATGGTTATTCGTAGTTCATCACAACTGTTAATCAGTGTACTTTAGGTGTATAGTTCAAGATCACTATTGGATTTTACTGAACATAGAGATGAATTTTCAATAATGTATGGAAAGAATTTATTTGATATAGACTGATTTTTAACGGTAAATTTCTACAGTTCATGATTCTCAACTTCGTTTTCTTCTTCAGCACTACGTTTCCAGATTACAACATTAGAGGAGGACTTAAATATTGGAGGTTTTACACATCGCCGCATAATACTAGTTGATTCATCTAAACCAAATCTTACTACTCGTGAAACTTTTATATACCAGTGGCTAGACACAGAGATGAATCCAATTCTTGATTCAATGGGGCCGGATTTACGTATCAACTTTCATAGTCCTTCAGATTTCGGACGGTATTCAGTTCGTATCACTGGCTTGAATTCTGGTTATCAGAGAGATCTGAGTACTTATATTACTTTGGATGGTAAGAATTTAAAAAAATTACAAAAAGTTGTTTAACCAGTTTTTATGCACCTAACAGTCACTAATTATAATTCAAGTTGATTTAACAGGAATAATTAAATGAAACACATAATTCACAATAAAAAATCTGTTTCCTACAATTTAGAAAGGTACATTTTACATCAACTGTTTAATAACACGAGGATTTACACATATGTCTACTTATTATTTTTTTCATTTCATCCGGGTTCACCGTCATGTTCTTTGAAAATACAACAGACTGTGGTCAAATTTCTAGTACAATTAACACCTTCTTGATGAACTCAATATCATATATTACGGTTTAATAAAGATGTAACAATTAATTAAAAATTAAAAAGCTTAATTAAGCAAATAAATTAACATCAGATGGGGATTTGTGGAGATTTTAGTAATTTAATAGTTGAATTAATGAATCAATTAAAGCTAGACCACGATGGAAAACCTGGAAGCACTGGACGGCCGTTTCGTCCTATTGTGGGACTCCTTAGAACTACGCATTCACGATCCCACCCGCGGGATTAGCACACAAGAACTATCGGCCACGAGCACGAACGCTTAGCCTGTAGACCACTGAGTTGATATCCAATTTTGTTAACGAATAGCTTCAACCGATCCATTAAATACAGTAAACGTTCACGATTGTCTTCAGTGAGTTGCTATCTCATAAGGGAATTGGTTGAACTCCAATGGTCACTACTTCTCACTATAACTCTAAGGAATACCTTTTGAAGCCAGTCACTGATGAGTACATGATGATTATTATCAGAAGGGAGTTTTGTGGATGAGCACCGCTCAGGAATCCCATACTAGAACAAAACGGCTTTCCAGTGCTTTCAGGGTTCTCATGATGGTCTAGCTTCAATTGACTAATGATTACAACTATTGAATAAATTACCAACAATAAATGCTATTCAACCAATTTATTCAACCTAGTTTGAAGGTATTTAAATAATTATTTATGATATTAAGCATACAATCAAACTAAATCCTATAAATTACCTAATAAAAATAATGCTCAAATTGTGTCTGATCAAATAATAAACTTACAATCCTTTAGTAATTAGTTTGTAAATTATTTGTAAATATATATAGGTTAACCTCTAGTTACCAATTCTGTACCTACTAATAATAAAAAGAGTATTTTTGATTTTATTATGGAGAATATCATATTTCAGAGGGGGTTTTGTGGAGAATTTAGTATTTTCATAGTTGAAATCATGAGTCAATTGAAGCTAGACCACCATCGAAAACATGGATGCACTGGACGGCTGTTTCATCCTATTATGGGACTCCTCAGCAGTGCGCATCCACGATCCCGCCTCTCGATTGGATCCATGAGGTATTTCCTGGAGTTCTAATGAGAAGCAATAACCAGTGGACTTCAACCAGGTCTGTTGGGAGACATCAACTCACTGAAGGCAATTGATGAATGGTTGCTCAACTTCGTGGATCGGTTGAAGTTAGACATTAACACCGTTGGATGCCGTCTCAGTGGTCTGTCGGTTAAGGGATCTGGCTCGAGACTGATAGGTTCTGGATTCGAATCTCGCGAGTGTGGGATCGTGGATGAGCACTACTGAGGAGTACCATAATGGGACGAAACGGCCATCCAGTGCTTCCAGGTTTTTGATGGTGGTCTAGCTTCAATTGACTCATGATTTCAACTATGAAAATATCATATTTTATTATTTAAGAGGCATTGTCATGATGCTACTCGTAGATATAAGTTTTAAGTATATCGTGTGTATTCATAATTCAACTATGTCGGTACAAACTGAATAGAATGTAGTTCTAAGTATCAAAAATGTAAAAACGAGCTGAAAAATTTTTAATGCAATTATTAAAGTTATTAAACTTTGTTACAGGCCGAAATGGTGAAGTGGAACCAACTTATTCTGTTGTAATTCGAGAAATTTCTGGTCCCCTTTATTTAAATGCACGATTAGAATTGGAATGTTCTCCAAGACCACCAAATTCAGCTGCTAGAATTAATTGGCTTGGCCCAGATGGAATGGTAGTTTCCGATTCTAGTAACATAGTATTTGAACGTTTCCAACCTCATCATCAAGGTAGATACACATGCCAAATTTTATTACCGAATCAGATTATTTTACGTCAAGTAAGTTCACTAAAATTCAGTTTCCTAAATAATATTTTAAAAAAATGTTATGGCAATTTTAAATAACCAAGTGTCAGAAATTCAATTTTATACTTAAAACAGTACTGAATTCTTTTCCAGTAATCAAATTCTGTACATGCCATTACCATCTACCTAATAGCTTAACTGATAACAAATTAAGAAAAATTCAAAACTAGTTACGCAGAAACTAATTTTCTGATTATGGAATTCAAACAATAGTCTCAATGACAAAGTAGCAATATTTGCAACCGTTTAACTACTCTGTTGTGGAGAACAGAGTTGCAAGTTATCATGAGTTAAATAAAGTTTGAAAGAATAACGTTATCGTAATAAGTATAAATCTATTATATGAATTTAGTCTGAACATTTTAGAAGGTTCGTTTAGTTTTTTATCTGAAAACCTGTCGAAAGTCAAAAAGACGGTGGCTTATTACTTGTTACACTACTTTGATTGACTACTAGTTTAATAAAGGTTATTAAATGTTAGCATTATGAAAGGTTTAAATTAATAATGCTTTAGTTGACATTTGTGATTGATTTTCTCTCTCCAATCTATTAGAGTGTAGAGTTGGTTGTTTCCGGGACATCAACAGAAATTCCAGAACCTGACAGACTCTATACAATTCGAATTATTCAATCACCTACATATTTCAGATATAATGATGCTGTACACCTGCAATGCATTGTTTCTCCTACACCTCCATTGGTATCTTATGAGTGGTTTAAAGATGGAGTGCTTATTGGACGACAAGCAGATATCCATATAGAGAGATTTTCCCCAGATGATGTTGGTCGGTATCAATGTGTTGCCCGACTTGACAGTATGGTACTTACCTTTAACAGTACAATATCTATTGACGATGGCACAGGTATGCTGTAATAAAATCCTTAATTTATTTTACCAGGAATTAAATGTTTTGGCATAGCTACTTGAAAAAATTCTTAAACCCTTCAAAACTCAGCAATTACTATTGTCTAAAGTTCACATTTTCAAGGGTTCACGTTAAAAAAGGAAAATAGTTGTCTTTTAATACACTAATTATTTAGTTCATTGTTTTATTCACATTAAGCCATCTCCAAACTCATGTCCTAATCTAATTAATTATATTAATAAGATATATATTTACGTAAAACAATTTATCCCTAGATTGTAACATACTGTAGTGAACAGAACACGAGTGGGGACAATCGAATGTATTTGTCATGTAAATTACAGACTATCTCATTAAAATCTGACAACCATACAGTAAATGGTTCATTTGCAAAATAACAATCAACTGTCTCAATCTTGACCGTTTCTTCTGCAAATATCAATCCACAGTCTTCGATTGTTATTGTACTTGCATTTTCATACCAATTGCGTTTGATTTCCGTTCTTTTCTTATGGATCTTCTACTGAAATACATGTAATGCCCGACCATCATTATATGCTACTTATGTGAATATAAGTAACCCACACCACAATACTACTCGAAAAGTTGAAAATGCTATTGAACTCATTATAACAATAAATGATGATTATAATTAGTATTTAGAACTATAAGGTTTCAATGAATTTAACAAACAACATCAAAGAAATGGTACAAGTGATTTCTCATTTCATTCTTTTCAAAAAACACATTTCTAACTTGGTGTATGAAGATGAATTCTCGAAAATGTCTATTATTATTATTAGATAATTGTCTGATAGCGTTGGAAGTTAATTTTTTTCCCATAATAATTTCTTCAAGATATTCAGGTCGTATACATAACATTAAAGATTAATAACTTGTAGTCCATTGACATCAATAACAGGAAAACTAAAACCGTTAGTTAAAGCTTCATATCAGAATAACAAGTTAATAACTGTCTGAACTGAGTCCCTCTGCTGATAGTGAGTTAGGATTTGAAGTGAAAATCAATGGTTTCAAGTTTTTTTTCTAAACAATAATGCTAGCATTCCATTCAGTTAAATAAGCTAAAATAAAATGTAACATACAACTTAAAATCCATTTTTAGACATGATCAGACAAACTGGGTGTTAAATATTTCCTAAAATATCACAAAATGTGAAAGGAATATATAAGATCAAGTGAAATATAGACTAATTAACTTCGTAGATACAAATTGAACTACAGTATTTTGTCAGTTGCAATTATGAATTAATATCCACTCGACAGCTTCTAATATGTGTGTAGCTGATATATTCAGTCAATTATATAAAAAAATCGATGCCACTTTCGCGATGACGATAACACTGAAATTTCATGAAACGTAGGCTGTGATCACCAGTTGTCACTTTTAATAGTTTACTGTATCTTTTGTATTTAAAATGGTGAGTTAACTCTGATGAAAATTTATTATATGCCATCATTAACTGCGAATATAAAATTTATAAAAAAAAACACAGTTAAACAGAAGTGATATTGACGATGAGAGAGAACATAAAATTAGGTTATTTTCTAATGGAAATAATAAAATAGTAATATAATAGCTTGTTTCGCTGCAAAACTCATTAAAAGAATCAGTAATTAAACATCAGTGAAACACAATTTATTCGAAAATAGAAAAAATGAAGGTATGCTGCGACTATGATTAGGCTACATGAGAAGGGACTAGGAACGTATCACATGGAAAGAAAAACAGATCTATAGATGCACTGGGTCAGGAAGTTTAATAAATAAGTTCATCATTGTATTTACTGTTTGAATCTTCCAATTGATATTTAGGGCTGCAACTGGTGAGTCACTCATTGACATATGTGCATCCTTCGCGGATTTTCTCGATATTACCTAAAGTTACAAGCATTATAAGTAGAGATCGATGGAGGCTACCAGTGGAATCCAGGACGCGCGTTTCGTCCCATTTGGGACTCTACAGCTGGATGGGAAGATTCAAACAACCAAAACAGAAATGAATTGAAACTTCACCACATTGCATAAGCTAGTGACTATACTGACGCAGTAGCTAAAAGGATAATGTGATGACGTTTGAAGCTAAACGGTACTAAGTTCGACTCCAGGAGTGAACATTGACTCCGGGGTTCAGGCACATCCGGCTGACGAAAAGTGCATCCTGGGTTCCATTGATAGCCACGATCCATCTGCGTTTATAATATTTGATACATAAATCCTTAAAAAAGTGAATTGCTTTTTGTTTTGCACGCTGTTTCTCTTAAAGAGGTAGTAACAATAGCCTCTTGTGTATAACATTTGATAAGTTTAGCAGTCTTCTCAAAACCTAAATACAATCGACCGATTTGCATACGTTATGTGATGGCTAGGAAACCATGTGACAATTCTTTTTTTAATAACCTTCTCAGACCATCATCAAAATACGTTCCGTTTTGATATTTAATGTTGATAGAGACCCAATTTATGGTTGTTGAATAATTTAACTTCTAGGCAAATGCTCTTGCTGGAGTAGATAACGTATAACTTAGCTATTCGAAAAGAAAGAATCAATGTCTCTTGACCCCTAGTACAAGTGATAACATCTGAATTTATTCCATGCTTTTTCTGTTACCTTTATTTTACGATATTCTTAAGACGATAAAGATAAATTTTATTCTGTCACATCTAATTGAGCAATCATAGTTGGTCTAAGATTAGAGTTTTTACGACTTCGGAAGTCATTATTAATGAATATTAATGTATATTTGAAATAATCAGGATTTCAGCAACAAAATATTTGCAATTAGCCAATTGTTTTTTAAGGAAACCCATATTCATCTCACATTTATTGCTGTAATAAGCCACTTCAACCAGCAGCTCACAACTTACACATCTTCAGTGACAACTAGATATTTCATGTTGGTAACTTGTTGGAATAAATTTTGAATTAATTCAAATGACACATTAAGTTCCAAATGAATTTATTTAACTAAGAAATTCTTTTCGATGATTTTATATCCGGAATCATGTGATTATATATATGTGATAAATTATAGGTCAATGAATAAGTGTATAAAATTTAGGATTTTGTTAGCATCTATGTGCATTATGACTACATAATTTTAAATAAAGAAATGACCATTAAATGATATGATTTATCGAACCTGAAAATTGTTTAATCAATAAGTTGAACTCATTAATTATGAATTTTGTCAAGCTGAAAATGATAGAGGTTCATGAATGACAATCAAGAATTGTGATTTGAATCAACGTTTTTAGTAACAATAATAAAATTATGCAACATAAGACCATTCTTACAAATGTAGAACTGAAAAGGTGATATATATAACCAGCGTAGAAATCATATAAGGTAAAAGTCTGTTTTCGCTCACGTTTATAGTCATTTCATTCATTTACTTTGATTATAACTACGTTTCAAGACCGAGTACTTTATAACATTTAATGATATCATATGGGGTTTTGTGAAGATTTTAGTAATTCTACAGTTGAGATCAATTCAAACTAGACCATAATGGAAAATCTGGAAGCATTTAACGGCTGTTTCGTCCTATTTTGGAACTCCTCATCAGTGCGCATCCACGATCCTACCTCGCGAGATTCGAACCCAGGACCTATCAGTCTCGCGCGCGAGCGCTTAACCACAAGACCACTGAGCCGGCATTTAATGAAATCACCTAAGGTTATAAGGAATAAAGGTGCTGTAAGAGCTATGTTATCTGTAACAAATAGTATTAACAAACTGTTTAGACTTCAATGAAGTCACCTAAATTTCCGTCAGCACATATTTATGTGTTGTTTAGAAGCAAATCATAACAACGCTTTATATCTTTAATTAGGCAAGCAACGAGCGGTAGTGTGTAGTAGATTAAAATACTAATTTCTATCATCGTTAGTAATATATCACTCTCTTTCAAATCCAGATATAAGTATAAGTTCACTTGTTTCGTTAATCATATTAGTATATTCGCTTAGTATTAGTTATTTAGTTTTTCGATCAATGTATCATCGTTGATTTAAATATGGGAGTCAGAAGATATCTTTTCAGGAGATTATCACTTTGATTTTATACTTTTAATCAATTGTGATATATATTTCAAGTTTCCTTACCATTTTTATAGAAGTATTTATTGTATTTCACAGGAGCGATGTTGACAACAAGAAGTATATAACATTTTACTGAAATTATTAGTCGTCTTAGGTGTAAAATATGTGCATACCCCGTGGTATCGACAGTCACATTTATTATAATCTTGATTTGAAGCTCATTAAGAAGTGGTCACCTAACATTTAACAATTATGTTTAAAATTTCAAGCAATATTTTTCTTTACATCAGTTTGTGTTGCTGTCCAATAATAAGGTCAGTTATAAACGAATTTATGAAATACAGACGACTAAGTTAATGTTAAATCAACATATAAGACTATCATTCTAAAGGGTAGCTTATAAAAACAACCTAACTTAAAAAGCGAAACCATTATTTATATACTCTACAAAGAAGATAAATAAAAATTAGCAAACGTACACTTACGTATATAAACACTAAAGTGTCGAAACATGTCACTCTTTTTTTCAATTATAAACAAATCATTTGGTCATCAGAAACACTGACGTTATTGCTGTAATATAATATATGGTATGTACCATTAAAATACCCATACAACTTAACAGTCATATGTTTATTAATTTCATATTACTTACAAAAGTTATTCAGTAGCAACTATGCCCCTTCTGAAAATAATTTATCATTATCCTATGATGAAATTTAAAAGAAATATAGTTTATATATTTATTAGTAATAATGAAAGATTACAAAGTAATAATGTAAAAAAAAGTGTCATTTTAAAATTTAAATGTGAAGCCGCGATTGACGAAAGTAGTCGGAATGATTTAGTTTACATTATAAAAATAGTTATTCTTTTTAAATTTACTTAGTATTGTTTGTTTGAATCTTCCCATTGATGTTTAGGACTGCAATTGGTCAGTCTCTTGTTAGCATATGTGCATACTGTGCTTATTGCCTCGATATAGCCTTAATTCACAAGCATTATAAGCATAGATGGATAATGGCTAGTAGTGGAGTCTCAGAGTGAACATCAACTCTGAGATTCAGGTACATCCAGCTGATGAGTTTCAAATAGGACGAAACGCGCATCCTGGATATCATTACTAGCCACTATCCATCTTTGCTTATAGTTATTCTTCTAAATATAAAAAATTTTTAAAAAATCTATATAAAACGGTAACACCTATTTTCAGTCAGTTCCTAGTTCTACTTACTTCACTCAGTGTTTGATGTACTTCAAAATATCATAACCTACATTTTATAAGACTTTCGTTTATAATTTCGAACAGAACTGACGAAGAATTTTTGACACGTATTCCCATCATTTTGAATTAAAAATGAAAAAAAAACCCTTGACTTTCAAGGGATTCTTTTTTTTCTGGCAATGAAACAGTTAATAGCAGTGTCTTATACTTCAACCAATAACTAATGAAGGGACCAGTTGATCTATTTTTCATTACAATGAATAATACAGTCAGAAAGAAATCAACAATATAAAATAGAAACAAAGTATGTAACACAGACTTTGATTATTTTCACTCTACATGTCTCAACTGTGTGTTCACTCAAAAACTCCTATCTTGAAGAAGCTCTCCAAGTATGTGGAAACTCTTTAAAGAAATTACAGGGGACAGGCAGACTAGAAGCGATAACCAGCTAAATGTTTGTGACTTAAATAAGTCCTTTATTCATCAGTCATCTGACATCATGCTCCCTATATCCAAGGGTTTGAAGAATAATTGTGTCAATGTCGATATCGTTCACGGCGGCCTGCTTGAATACCTGGGCTACCTGTTTCTGCCATCTAAATATTTCAACAAGTTATCTGGGTGTTTTTTTTAATTTGTTTTAACCTATCATTATGTCTATTAATCGCATAACCTACACAGGCGCGTTTATAAAATGCTTACGTCCTTTCGCTGCAAAAATCACAAACAAGCACAATAAGAGACATCGTGGTGGTTGGCAATATGCTTTAAAGAGAATAAACATCAATCAAATGTCGATTCCCGAGCTACTTAACTCTAACTGTCGATCACTAATTAACAAGGTGGACTATCTCCAATTTCTGCTAAGTCAAAACATGTATCGTAATTGTGGTGTCATCACAATACAAGAATCTTGGTTAACTGACTTACAGGATGATTGCTTAGTGTCATTACGTGATTTTAATATCTATCGTCAGGATCGATCAAACAATAAAAAGACTTGTGGTGGCGGAGTAGCTACTTTTGTAAACGTTAACTGGTGTAGATCTACTTTTGCCTGTTTCAAGTTTTCAAACGACTTTATTGACTGTCTAACTTTAAGGTGCCGTCCAAAACACCTGAATAAATACAAATATATTTATGTTACCAATATCTACATGACTGCAGACTGCACATCATCTGCGCTATCTGTCTTCACTGATAAATTTACTGAATTCGCCGTTACTGACTTCAGTGATTCACTTTCAATTGTATGTGGTGATTTCAATTCATGTGACTGTAGCTTCCTTACATCACTAGGTTACCTAAATGTAGTAGATTTTCCTACTCGTTTGAATGCTCATCTAGACTTGGTTTCCATTAATGATGTGGGTGCCTATGTGACTCGCAAACGTGCTCCATTGTCTAGTTCGGATCACTGTATAATTCGTGTCTTACCTAAAGTATATGGTAAACATGGAAAGAGTACACACGTACACCATACCAAAAAAGTAATATATAGGAATCACTCAGAAGAAAATTTACAAAATCTAAAAAACATGTTTCGTACGACCAACTGGGAATTATTTACAGATGATTCAATAGAAAACACAACGGATGTTATCACCTCTTATCTTAAATTCTGTTTTGATATTTGCTGTCCTACCGAAACCTTCTTTTTAAGTTTTGATCGACTTACATCTCCACAACTAAAACGACTACGGAGGGTAAAAGAAAGGATGTACAAGGAGAAAAACACTATTGAAGTTCGTAAGTTAAATGATCAAATAAACCAAGAGATTAGACGTCTCAACTGTGTGTTCACTCAAAACTCCTATCTTGTAGAAGCTCTCCAAGTATGTGGAAACTCTTTAAAGAAATTACAGGGGACAGGCAGACTAGAAGCGATAACCAGCTAAATGTTTGTGACTTAAATAAGTCCTTTATTCATCAGTCATTTGACATCATGCTCCCTATATCCAAGGGTTTGAAGAATAATTGTGTCCCCAGTTTCACTGAAAATGATGTCCGGAAATGTCTCCAGTCTCTGAATTCATCCCAATCTTTAGGACCTGATGGTATCCCAAACCTCCTTTTTAAAAAATGTGCCGATGTTTTATGTTATCTATTAATGAATATCTTCAACAGATCCTTCTCAACTAATGTCTTACCGAAAATGTGGAGAAAGATAAAGGTAATCCCTATACCCAAGAAGGCTTCTGGTGATAAAAATGCGAAACTTAGACCCATAGCAATAACCTCACCTTTCCTCAAAATAATGGAAAAATTACTGATACAACCACTTCAACCTGTAATAAAAGAGCACTGTGATCCATATCAGTTTGCTTACAAGTGCAAAAGAAGCACATTAGATGCCGTTGCTGTTCTGCATCACAATATAGTGTTGGGGTTGGAAAAGGGTAAGAAGTATGTTAGATGCGCTTTCCTGGACTTTACTTCTGCTTTTGATTCTATTCCAAGACACCTCTTACATAACAAGCTGATCAGCGTCGATACTGACAGCTGGATAACCAATTGGCTGTGTTCCTACCTTTCTGGAAGAGAACAGTACACTGTCTTTGAAGGAAAGTGTTCAACATCTCTACTGTCTACTGTAGGTGTGCCACAAGGAACTGTTCTTTCACCTCTACTCTTCTCTTTCTTTTTGCATGATATGCCATCTTCCACAGAAAACACTTTTGTAAAATATGCGGACGACCTCACCGTATGTATGCCAATTTCTACCTCCTTACATCCTACAGAAATGAATGAGTTTTTATCTCGTATTGAAAGGTGGTCTGTTGGTAATGGTCTCTTACTCAATCAATCTAAATGTCAAGCTGTTAATTTTAGCTTGAGACATGGACAGAACCTATACTCTATGTTGGGATCCCATAATGCTTGTGCCATTGGAGACTCCTTAATAAACACAGTGTCAAAGGTCAAATATCTTGGTATTACTTTTTCCTCTGATCTTTCTTGGTCTTCTCATGTTTTGCTGTTATCGAAAAAAGTTTACCGTTTGACATACCACATAAAGAGGCTGCATGCTTTTGAGATTACTCGCCATTTACTCTTACACTTTGTAAATTCCTGCATATTACCTATTATTTTATATTGTTCTCCATTATTCTTTCCTGGGCTTTTGAGAAAAGACTTTGCTATTTTGCGTAGAGTGCTGAAGGCGGTTTGCAAGGTATGTGGTGAATCTTTTGAAGTCATTGTTAATATGCTTGTGGATAGACATCTTAAGTCTTGCAAACTCTTGGCAGGTGTTATCTTATCAGATACTAACCATCCGCTTCATTCATATCTTTCTCCTTGTATATCTTCTGGTAGAACGAGACGTAAATACATTGAAATTCATGCACGCAAGCAAATCTATAAAAGTTCTGTAATACCTTACTTAGCTAATTTACTTTGTGACGAACAGGCTGTTAGAGTTGACCTAGTAAATAACCTGTCTTCTTAAGCATGTCTCATATTCGATAATTTGTATAAACTCAGATTTTCTTAAACCTTTTTTATATTTTATTTCTGTTTTTTGTTGTTTTTTTGGGTTTTTTTTGGGAAAAAACTTGTTGAAATAACTCGTGCTGAGAATTCTATATTGTACCAGATTATAATATTGAATAAAGCCATTAATAATAATAATAACAATAATAATGTTGAATGCGATATTTATTTTGAAGTAAGTTTCCATAACCCCCCTTTATCAGTCTATCATTGTATCTGTCTAAATTGAGCCTTAGAAACAAAATTACATTAGATTAGGCTCTGTCATATTAACCACATTTTCAGTCATATTCTTTATACTTTACTCAAAAAGAAGCTTTTCTTTTTATTATTTTTCTAATTAGGAGTGGATTTAATCATGCGACCTAATATAATATATATTCCAGCATTTCATCCATTTGAAATTGAATGTTTATCTATACGTACCGGTTTATCACCTATTGCTATATTTGGTAATGGTGCACCTATTGAATCAGATAATCGTTTTACAATTATAAAACCAAACGAACAAAGATTAATTATAAAAGCTACAGATGGTTTATCTAGTGTTTATAATGGTTTACGTATACGGTAAGTGAGAAAAAATTTATTACAATCGATAGAGTTTTATTTAAAAACAAAATTTATATATATATATATATATAATATAAACCCACTCGGTATTGTTTGCTTGAATATTCCCATTGATTTTTAGGACTGCAATTGATCAGTCTCTTATTGACATATGTGCATCCTCTACGGACTGCTTCGATATTGTCTGAAGTCACGAGCTCTATCAGCAAAGATGGATACTGACTAGTAATGGAATCTATGATTCGCGTTTCGTTCTATTTGGGACTCGTCACTTGCACAAGCAAGTGTCTATCAGGACTCAGTAGCTGAGTGGATAACAAGACGGCGTTTGAAGCGAAAGGTACTGGGTTCAAGTCTTAGAGCGAACATCAACTCTGAGTTGTAGGTACATCCAGCTGACGAGTCCCAAATAGGACGAAACGTGAGTCTCGGATTTCATTGCCAATCACTGTCCATCTTTGCTTATAAATAAAAACGTTGAAAAATATGATTTTGTTCAATGTTCAAATAACACAATGTAATCAATTAATGAGCATCATTATATTATACAATAATAATACACATTGGTGATTTCCTTAATGTATGTCCTATCCACTTCTGTTACGTCTCGTCGATTAAACGCTATATTTGCTTCCCTAAGCTAATTCCGTACCCCCGAGCTAGAACTACTCCGCCACTTGAAGACCAGAGAAAAGGCACAAAGTGTGTGGGAAGCACTTTACTACAGGGTTCCTTTATGTACAGAAAATATAGGGATTTTATAGTAATTTAAGAGTCTTTTAGTTTTTTTCCTGAAAGTTCTAGAATACTGCTAAACATAGTAGCAGTGTATTAATCAGCCAATCAGGATCTCCACATGTGACTTTTCCATTTTCGTTATTTTAGTAACATAACTTCACATAACTTCTAATTAATCGCTGATTGGTTGAAATGCTCCTTGATGACCCCTGAGCTTGTCATGTCGCTTGCGAGAAAATTGCAGGGTCATCCCAACAACTTCCAACGTCTTTTCCTAATTTCCTCTTCAGCTGGAAGCTGGTTTTAGACAAATATGGTGTCTACGAGAAAAACGTGAATATTTTAAACTGATCATGTTAACATTATTGTGTAATCACTAGGTAGCAGATTGCCTAATGTTAAAATATAATTTCACTTTTATAAATTATTTGAATTTGATTACCCACCATAGAATATCAGGAAATATGTGTTTCATATTTCAATTTTGTTTGAAATTGATTGTAATACTCATATGTATGTTTAAAAATAAGTGATAAAACTGATGTGCATCAAATCATATTTAATAAACAGATGTCATAAGAAACTCAAAATTGTTTATTGAATTAATCACGAGTGCACGGTCGTGGATATGTACTGTAGAGGAGCACCGTACTAGAACGAGACGGCCGTCCAGTACTTTCGGGTTTTCAGTGATGATCTGACTTAGATAGACCCGTGAAATCAACTACTGAACTAACAATGAAAACTAATGGGAGTAATTCAGAAGCGAAGATGGTTAGAGTATCTACTAACTTTGAATGTACTTTTTAATATTTAACACTAAACAAATTGCTGTCATTTGACACTAGTAGACAGTGTGGGCGGTTGTTTGGATTTCACCTGAAAAACAAGATTTTTTTGTGACAGTATATAGTGATCGATTGATTCGTATCAACATTGAATCAAGCACATATATGCATTGGTCTAAATTCCTATACTTCATTATCAAAACAAGATAAACACCAAATTCATAGAAGCAGTTACTTCAATGGTAATAATATATAAAAAGAGATTGCATATAAGGATATGATACATGAAGAAAGATTTAGCTCATAGAAAGAAGAGTATAAGTAGTTTTAACCTCACGATTTAAGGGAAATCAAAAATGGTGTACACATACACCACTGTGATCAATTCTGAACCATGTCCCCTTAAGTCTTCAACCATTGCTTACGATAGTCGCGCCGACCGCAACCAAATAGTCTGCATCTACCAACATGGCATAGACCAGAATTCAGTGATTTCAAGGATTGATGCCACGTTTTGGTTTGTCCGCCCCTAACCCTCTTCCAACCGTCTCCAACACTAGTCAGAATTGCGCGTCGTAGTGATCGGTGTTCAGGCATACGTAGCATGTGGCTCAACTATCTCAGTCGATGAAGATTCACAACCTCATCAACTGATTTACGATTATTCCCAAATACCTGAATCTAACCTCACCATTACCTACCTGGTGATCCCAGCACTTGTAAGCAATATTTCTAAGACATTTGTAATCAACTAGTAGTAACTCACAAGTATCTTCCAAATTAGATGACCTCGTGTCGCAGCTGTAAAGTAGAACAGAGCGAACGGTCACGCAGTATAATCGTTCCTTAATTGATAGACGGATATCTCGTCTTCACCATTGGTGACGTAAGGTGGCAAAAGTCAAACGAGCTTTCTGAATACGTACAGAGATTTTGTCAGACACCAACCCATTAGGGTTGATTGAACTTCCAAGATAAGTGAAGTTGTCGACGCGTTCGACTACTTCACTCCTTAACCTTGGTTCAAGTGTTGACGCAGGCCAGTCCTGAAGCAACAACATGCATTTAGAGATGGAGAAATGCATCACAAACATCCCCACAGTTTTGCCCAATGCTAACAAAAGACCCTGCATTTTATCAATGTCTTCATCTAATAGGACTATATCATCTTCGTATTCTAAGTCGATAACTGGACCTCCTGGTAGGAGATCAATTTCCGAAAATTCAGACGACGGGAACGTTACTTCCAGCAGTAGGTCAATGATAAGTTAAAGAAAAATGGAGATAGTGGACAGTCTTGCTGAGCACCACTCAAGGTTGCAATATCAGATGACAGTTCGCTATAAGCTCTGGCTCAACTGGTAGTGTTCGAGTAAAGAGCCCTCACAAGGTTTCGTACTTGTGAGATACGCCTTTTAATGACAGACACTGCCACAGAATCTTTTGGTCGACAGAGTCTAATGCTGCTTTCAAGCCAAGAAAAACTGTCATTGTCGGGCGCCAATTGGCATGCCTGTGTTTTGACGAATGGTGAATAAGTGATCGATGCAGCCATACTTAAAACCCCCTGGAGCAAATCTATCTGAACTAGCTGCTCTTTCTCGTAGTCATAGCCTAGATCCATTGAGAAAAATTTAAAACCAAAACAACAGCATGAAACAATGTCCATAGCAAAAAAGAAGCCTTTCTTCATAAACATTCCGTTTACAAGAGATACCGTAGCAGAAATTCTGAAAAACAGACTTTCAAGATCACTGAGAAAAACTTTTTATTCCACTGAATTTCGCATTGTCTTCCTAGTAGGTCAGTGGTTCGAATTGGTGTGAAGAACGAGCTGTCACTTTGGTCCAAATCAATGTGCATCTATCAGGTTACTCAATCACGTAGAGTAGATTATATTAGCCACATATAGCGATTTCTTCTGAAGCACATCTCCGAACATTACCCTGCCTGGCCCTCCAAAGGTCAACGGAAACCAGTCAAAAGCTCAATCTTTAAGTATCTAGTGAATTCCAGCTATTCTGCTTCACCAGAAGCCTCTTTTAAAATCATACATACTGTCAGAAGAGTCAGTTCAAAGAGAATGTACAACAGAGGTTACTGATATCCACCAGCTTAAACTTAATGTTTGCATACAACAACATTATGTTTAATTCCTCACTCTTCCAAGGTTTTAACTTCTATTCTATCTTCCGTAATCTATCGTTCTCATTTTTATTTTATTATTTCTACTCCTTTCCAACTATTTTCATAACCCTTAGTTATCAATTATTACAACTCCTAATTATTTCGTTGTTAATATCTATCAGCTGATTATTATAAACTTCCTTTCAATATCTGATTTTCAAGTCTTAACAACGTAGCGCTTCAAGTTTCTTTTAAATCATTAACACCTTGTCATTTTACTTTAGAACACTGTTTTAGCAACTAAAATTAACCATAGATGCAACTGTACACCTTAAGTAAATGAAATTGTTGACAAGAAAGTTTTCATCGCTGAATTGGCATCTTGCTTCGTCAAAAACAAATGAAATATAAATTATTAACTCTGATCTCTAACATAATCAATCAGAATAAATGCTTTGCGACAGTGTTTAACTAAATCAATAATTAGTAACTCTTCAATCAAATATTATATTTCCTTGACTTCTTCTATTACTAGTGGACAGTAAAAGATTGTGAAACACTCTCTTCTATATTAAGTTAAATTCTAATCATTAAGTTAATGATAGTAATTACCTTTATAACTATTAAGAGATAAATTGAAACGTGATTTTACCAGTATAAAAATTACTTGCTTACTTATGCCTGTTACCCCTCGTCGAGGAGCATAAGCCGCCCACTAGCATTCTGCATCCAACTCTGTCCTGGGCAGTCCTTTACAGTTCTTTCTAAGTTGTTATTCATCCTTTTCAAATCTGCTTCTATTTCCCGGCGTAATATGCAAGAATTATCTATGAAATAACATTTGATACATTATTAACCATTCTATATATTATATGAAGATATCCCAGTTTTGAGATGATCCCATGCTTATCATCAGCTCATTTAATCATAAATATAAAAATGTTAAATTGTCTATAATAAGTTTTATCTGTGTATTAAGAATCATATGGTAAGATATATTGAACATTATGAAGTTAACTAGTTAACTAGTTTAAAAACAAAATTGCAATACAACTATCATCTACACGTTGAAGGTTTACGCAATTCTTAAATTTCAAATTAAACAGTTAAATAATTAAAGAATCATTATTTTATTTAAATAACTGAGAATGGTCTTCATCTACTCTGGGTGCATTTCAACTAATTATCTTGCTTCTGTTAAACACTGAAGAATAACCAGTACCATATTTATATAATTTTTAGTTTTGATCTAATTCTATCCATAAAGTTGTAGTATGGCCACTAATCAAAGTGTCTAAGTATGGCGTACATCAATTTATGGTTTTAAATGGTTTATAGGAGAACCATGACTTGCTGGTTGAGACTCGTCAATAAGGGGTGGTTTCAGTGTTAAGGGAACTGATATTACCGAATAGAACTAAACTCATGTGACACAAATCTACGGTTTAAGCAGTTACATATGAATGGCAGTACGGATGCCCCGTAATGTCTGCTTTTTGTTAGTAATCTAAGAGAGGTCAATGCATGCTAAAGCCATTTTCAGTTCAACAATTTAAAAATTTTTCACAAACATTGTGTTCTGTGAATGTTTTCATCGTTATACTACTTTTTAGTAGTTAAACTTTTTAAAATTGTTTGAAATAACGAAGGTAAGCCATGGTTCTATTGAAAAAGAATTAAGACAATTCAGCGATTAACGTTTTCTTTTCGACAATAACGTTTATACAATCTGTACGATTGTATTTGTAGTTGATTTGCAAATAAAACAGTCTATTTAAAGATAAGAGGAAAATAAAATCATACCATGTGTTAAAGAAAGTTGCTCAGTAATCGCGAATTTAAGAGTGATAATATTATGAAATCGAATGTGACAAGGATAGTTTACCCTTCTGCTTAAAGGGTCCCACTCGTGAAAGTTCGTATATCGTCCGTTACAAGTTGGTTTTCGGTATAAACAACATTCCAATGTACCATCTTGTCTTCTATTTAATAAGACATCAAGGAAATGAAATTTTGATTTTGATTCTGATCCCAATGTAAATCTGATGGATTGATGACAACCACTGAACTAATCTGGGATGACGTTAAAATGGCTGTTTTCATTAGAAATAATAAATTATTTTATCCAGGAAGGGAATTGGTATAATTTTTGAAAAGTTATTTTGGTTTTCAAATGGATAAATGAACTAAGTTTTATTTTACTCCGGACCCTAGATTACGATAGTTTTCGTCTAATTTACACCTCTCATACGTCGTTCAAACATTCTTAGTAGATAAAGTTTGCCGAGACGATTTAAGAATGATTATATACGTATTTTTACGTTTCAAAATTTTTACTTATTCTAATACCTGATGTTTGATATGAAAGCTGTCAAGATGTTCAATATAAAACTAGTCAAGGTAAAGCTATATTGAATAATGCGAAGTATAACAGTTAAAATTGTCGCTTTGCTACATAAATATCAATTTAATTGATCAAATGATGAATGTATAAAACCCCATACTTTATAGTTTAATTCATGGACGGGGACTAAATGTGATTTAGGTGTCTATTATGTTGTATTCAAAAATCCTTTTCAAATATTTGGCTGAACATAACAACTAATTACTACTGATATATCGATATTCTAAACGTATTTTGAAAACTGTCACCAGTAAAATTACTTTCAGAGTATATATATATATATATATTTGTTTCTAAACAAAAATATATACTTATAATCTCAATGTTTTCAGTTGTATGTTACCAGGACTCAATTATAAAGAAGTTACATTATACATAATGGATATTTGTACAGCTAGTCAATCACAATGTAGAACTCGACAATGTATTCAAACCTCTCTAATATGTGATGGTAAAGCTGATTGTCTTGATAAATCAGATGAGGGTAGCAGTTTTTGCAGTGAGTATTTATTTATTTTCTTTATATATTTGTGTATATACGTCAAATATGTTCTATTTTTGTATTACAGATAATAGTAGTTTATTTAAAGTTTATGATAATCTAATTAGTTCTAAATTTAGTAGAAAATAAATTCACTTGGTATTACTAGTTTGAATCTTCCAATTAATGTTTGGGACTGCAACTGCTTAGTCGAAGCAATACGTACACTATGCACATATGACAACAAAAGACTGACCAGTTGCAATCCTGAACATCAATGGGAAGATACAAACAAACAATACTAAGTAAATTTAAACTTGACCCCATTGCAGAAGCAGGTGGCTATCAAGACTCAGTAGCTGAGTGGATAACATGATAGAGTTTGAAGCGAAAGGTACGGGGTTCGAGTTCCAGAGTGAACATCAACCCTGAGATACAGGTGCATCCAGCTGACGAGTCCAAAATAGGACGAAACTCGCATCCTGGATTCCACTGTTAGCCACTATCCATCTTTGCCTACAATGTTAGGAGAAAATATTTCATTTAGCCAAGTAATTTCAAACCTGAACATTCCTACCAAGAATAATTAGCTTTTATGATGTATATAATCTTTTTAAACACTACTTTTTATATTTATTTATCTTCCATTCGAATTTGAATTCAAATTTTCTTTTTCTTTGAAGATGCTGGACTTACTGTGATTCCAACTCGTATTGTAGTCAAACCATCAGAACCATTTTCACTTAAATGTCAAACTATTTTACCAGGGACTAGGATGCCACATGCACGTTTTGTATATAGCGGTAAAGATGTAGAGTCTGACCCTCGATTTATTATTGAGAGATCTCCAGGTATTTTGCTTATTAAGGCACCAAATGGACTTTCAGCAGAAGCCAATGATACAAGAATTGAGTAAGTTGATTAATTTATCTTATAAATTCCTTGTGTTAATAGAAAAATAGTTTTTTTAATATTGTATTTAGTTGACTACTTACCATAGTTTACTTCTTTCGTTGTTTTATCTTACAGATGTTACTTTCCTGATGAAAGCCCTAGAACTGCAATAATCAATGTAGTTCCAGATCGATGTGGTTTAGGATACTTTATGTGTTATGACGGAAGTTGTATACAACAATCTCAGAGATGTGATGGACAAACTCAATGTCCCGATGGATCTGATGAAATTAAATGTGGTTAGTTCAATATGCTTATAACAGCTAATTATCAAAAATGTTTTCTTTTTTTTGGTAACTACATACATTTTGGAAAATTTCTTTCATAACTTTCAGTTTTTCATAAATGACACATTATAGTTTACTATCGTTCTCAAGTTGTTTAATTAACTCCAATCAACTAATGATTTTGAAATATTACATTTACTGTAAAATCAATTCTACTTCATTGTGAAGAAAATAATTTCAAAGAATGGTGGTAATTAATCTACTTAATCATCAAGTATAAGAATGAATCTCAATTTATAAAATTTCATTGTTAGTTCTTTGAGTGGATCGTGTGAGAATGGAATATATACTCCTGATCACTAGTAACTTTGATGACATAATTTTATGTAGACTAATACATAGGACAAATTGATTAATACTTAGTAAATTTAGATAAACTAAATTGACTAGAACGAATTTAAGGAAGATAGTTTTAGTCAGATCAACCTTTAACCTCCAGAAAACACTACTCTTATAATGCCCGTACTTTATATTTGACCAGGTCACTTAAAAGTATTGTATTAGAAGGTATAGAGCATACATTAAGGTGACTGTAGTACTAACTACTGATAAAACAACTACTTAGTTGAAATAGTACGTTTGAAATAAATTAGATCATATCACTCAATTAATTGAATGACGATTGCGCAATAGAAGTTAGATGTGTGATATACCCACAAAACAAGAAATAAATGCAAACATTAACATTTATGTAAGATAAAGTAAGTTTCAGATTGATATGGTTAGAAAAGAAGTCTTGAAATATTTAAAAAGTATAACAATTTCAGTTTATATATGTGAAGTATATGAAGTTATCACTGATTTCGGGAACTTATCATAAAATTTTTTAAATACTTTGGTTTCAGTTTGCCAACCACCTCGCATTCTTTGTTCTTCTGGTGAGTGTATTACTACTGAAATGCGATGTGACGGTATACAACATTGTCGAGACGGCTCAGATGAAATCGCTTGCCGTAAGTTCAAAAATATGTTTTTTATATAAAGGCGTGTGTTAAAAACAAGTAATGGACTTTACTGTATGCAAGTTAAATGAAAAGATATGTCCCATTGTCGACAGACTGAACACAAGTTCATTTATCATGGAGCATCTAAGATGTCTATGTAAAATTTACCAAATATCAAACATATTTTTCACTATTAGTAAAAATTCTTCAGAAAAGAGCACAAAAAATGTTGGTTAACTTTTTCCGTAACATTATTATATAGCTTATGTTATCTTCATTAAGAATAGTAATCATTAAATATCAATAATAATCTGTTACTAAATATCCTAACTGATGTCTAAGGCTTTGGGATTCTCCTGATAATGGCATGTCGAGTCCTAATATTACTAAAAGGGTTATTTGTCAAAATAAATAACTTAAATATAACACCTTTGGAAACACTCTCCCGTATGTTGTAAGCTGGATTACTTAAAATATCCATACAGTAAAAAAAGATGCCCAATTTCATTAAAGACCAATGTCCTCACCAACGAAAAAAAAATAAATAGCATTTAATCAGTATTGAAGACATTTCGTCCTAGCTTCAAACATAATGAAAAATTCTGATCCCAATATTGTTGAAATTCAGGAAACTAAATAAAAACTTCAACCATTGCCCAGTTAAAAATGTCTTAAGAAAATATTGCAAATTTGGTTCAAAAACATTTACAGTACTCCGACAACAATATCAAAAATATTAGGCGGTAAGCTATGTGCTGAGATACACATACAATGTGGAACTGTTGAGTTGTCACCGGCTCCCTCGGTCAGTATTAAAAACGTACAGTCAATGATGAAGAAGTCCACCTGATCTTGCAAATATTCACATGTCTCTGTGTGTATCTGTAAGTAGCTGGATAGTCGAGGTTGTGGACGAAACGTATTCCCAGAGCTGGAGTGATCTCGCTCAACTCAAAATTCCTTAATCACTGAATATCGGGATGACGGGATTCTTCAATTAACGGCAACAAGAAAATATATTTCTAGAATACGCTCGTCATGTGACATTGCTCAGGTGTCGTTGATGACGTCGATAACAACAATGATGACGCGGGTAATGACAACATAGAAGAGTAAGTAGAATAAGAACAGACAGTGATGGTCAGGACGACAGTCCTGACGATGATAGAGACAGAGACATACAGAATGGTGACGATGACGACGATTGTGTTTTCTAGAGAAATTCCACCTTTAGATTGCCATTGCTTTCCAGAAAAGTGTGATATTGTGGTGTTCCGAACTAAATCACATGGTAGAATATGTGCGAGAAAGTCCAGCAGTTAGTGATAACTGTCAAAATGCAATGGTTGTGTTGGTGAATGTGTAGTAGTCGATCGACTTAAGGTCTGAGCTCATGTGTGTAACCACTGTTTGAAATAATAAACTATTCTATAGGAACTTTGTAGTATTCACCCACCCGTCTAGTACTGAGAGAAGATTTGTGCCTCAGTGGTTGTTTTGCATGTGGCCGTGTTGAATGATTTTGATGATGAAATGTTCATGGTCGAAATTAACTGAAGTATATTTATTTGTCAATGAAATTATTTTGCAACAGCTCCTCGTTGTCGTCCTGGTCAATATCAGTGTTCTTCTGGTGAATGCATTGAACAACAAATGAGGTGTGATGGTCGGCAAGATTGTCGGGACGCTTCAGATGAGACTGGTTGCCGTAAGTCAGATATCATCTGTGTTTCCCATTTTAGCTAGGTGACCATTGAGTAATGTGAGGAATGTGAACAGTGATGAAAAACAGTTAGCTGTTTGATGTATTCTAACTGTTCTGACTTCTCACTAATTTTGACTTTATCACTGGTGGAAGGAAGCCATAATAATATGTTTTAGGCGATCTCGGCTCACTCATTGTGTATTGATCGAGGAAAATAGAATAGCAATGATTCACATTATTTCAGTTCTGTTAGCTTCAGTTATTTCCTGTTAGTTGATCAGCTATTATATTATTTCCATCTAGAGAAGTATCTAACCATTGCTTTTGATAAACCTCTTATTACGAGTCAAGTCCATATTTTGGAAAATAGATAAGTTTTCACGAGTGTACACGACTCCTTACTATTTCTTAGTTTGTTCGCAGTTCGTGTTTATTTGAACTGTTTACAGGAGACGGTAATTTTAATAATTGATCTTCTGATTTATTCTACTGCTTAACTAGCATTGTTGGTGGAGTGTGGGTGTATCGCGTACGGTTGGAAAGTTGTTGTGTCCCAATGGGCAACTGAATGACGATGCGAACTCTTAACACGTTGAGACGTTGAAATCCCACTCTTGAGACCACACAACACTGAAAAGAATATCCGTTCATTGTGGGACGGTTGAGTTGTCACCGGCTCCCTCGGTCAGTATTAAAAACGTACAGTCAATGATGAAGAAGTCCACCTGATCTTGCAAATATTCACATGTCTCTGTGTGTATCTGTAAGTAGCTGGATAGTCGAGGTTGTGGACGAAACGTATTCCCAGAGCTGGAGTGATCTCGCTCAACTCAAAATTCCTTAATCACTGAATATCGGGATGACGGGATTCTTCAATTAACGGCAACAAGAAAATATATTTCTAGAATACGCTCGTCATGTGACATTGCTCAGGTGTCGTTGATGACGTCGATAACAACAATGATGACGCGGGTAATGACAACATAGAAGAGTAAGTAGAATAAGAACAGACAGTGATGGTCAGGACGACAGTCCTGACGATGATAGAGACAGAGACATACAGAATGGTGACGATGACGACGATTGTGTTTTCTAGAGAAATTCCACCTTTAGATTGCCATTGCTTTCCAGAAAAGTGTGATATTGTGGTGTTCCGAACTAAATCACATGGTAGAATATGTGCGAGAAAGTCCAGCAGTTAGTGATAACTGTCAAAATGCAATGGTTGTGTTGGTGAATGTGTAGTAGTCGATCGACTTAAGGTCTGAGCTCATGTGTGTAACCACTGTTTGAAATAATAAACTATTCTATAGGAACTTTGTAGTATTCACCCACCCGTCTAGTACTGAGAGAAGATTTGTGCCTCAGTGGTTGTTTTGCATGTGGCCGTGTTGAATGATTTTGATGATGAAATGTTCATGGTCGAAATTAACTGAAGTATATTTATTTGTCAATGAAATTATTTTGCAACAGCTCCTCGTTGTCGTCCTGGTCAATATCAGTGTTCTTCTGGTGAATGCATTGAACAACAAATGAGGTGTGATGGTCGGCAAGATTGTCGGGACGCTTCAGATGAGACTGGTTGCCGTAAGTCAGATATCATCTGTGTTTCCCATTTTAGCTAGGTGACCATTGAGAAATGTGAGGAATGTGAACAGTGATGAAAAACAGTTAGCTGTTTGATGTATTCTAACTGTTCTGACTTCTCACTAATTTTGACTTTATCACTGGTGGAAGGAAGCCATAATAATATGTTTTAGGCGATCTCGGCTCACTCATTGTGTATTGATCGAGGAAAATAGAATAGCAATGATTCACATTATTTCAGTTCTGTTAGCTTCAGTTATTTCCTGTTAGTTGATCAGCTATTATATTATTTCCATCTAGAGAAGTATCTAACCATTGCTTTTGATAAACCTCTTATTACGAGTCATGTCCATATTTTGGAAAATAGATAAGTTTTCACGAGTGTACACGACTCCTTACTATTTCTTAGTTTGTTCGCAGTTCGTGTTTATTTGAACTGTTTACAGGAGACGGTAATTTTAATAATTGATCTTCTGATTTATTCTACTGCTTAACTAGCATTGTTGGTGGAGTGTGGGTGTATCGCGTACGGTTGGAAAGTTGTTGTGTCCCAATGGGCAACTGAATGACGATGCGAACTCTTAACACGTTGAGACGTTGAAATCCCACTCTTGAGACCACACAACACTGAAAAGAATATCCGTTCATTGTGGGACGGTTGAGTTGTCACCGGCTCCCTCGGTCAGTATTAAAAACGTACAGTCAATGATGAAGAAGTCCACCTGATCTTGCAAATATTCACATGTCTCTGTGTGTATCTGTAAGTAGCTGGATAGTCGAGGTTGTGGACGAAACGTATTCCCAGAGCTGGAGTGATCTCGCTCAACTCAAAATTCCTTAATCACTGAATATCGGGATGACGGGATTCTTCAATTAACGGCAACAAGAAAATATATTTCTAGAATACGCTCGTCATGTGACATTGCTCAGGTGTCGTTGATGACGTCGATAACAACAATGATGACGCGGGTAATGACAACATAGAAGAGTAAGTAGAATAAGAACAGACAGTGATGGTCAGGACGACAGTCCTGACGATGATAGAGACAGAGACATACAGAATGGTGACGATGACGACGATTGTGTTTTCTAGAGAAATTCCACCTTTAGATTGCCATTGCTTTCCAGAAAAGTGTGATATTGTGGTGTTCCGAACTAAATCACATGGTAGAATATGTGCGAGAAAGTCCAGCAGTTAGTGATAACTGTCAAAATGCAATGGTTGTGTTGGTGAATGTGTAGTAGTCGATCGACTTAAGGTCTGAGCTCATGTGTGTAACCACTGTTTGAAATAATAAACTATTCTATAGGAACTTTGTAGTATTCACCCACCCGTCTAGTACTGAGAGAAGATTTGTGCCTCAGTGGTTGTTTTGCATGTGGCCGTGTTGAATGATTTTGATGATGAAATGTTCATGGTCGAAATTAACTGAAGTATATTTATTTGTCAATGAAATTATTTTGCAACAGCTCCTCGTTGTCGTCCTGGTCAATATCAGTGTTCTTCTGGTGAATGCATTGAACAACAAATGAGGTGTGATGGTCGGCAAGATTGTCGGGACGCTTCAGATGAGACTGGTTGCCGTAAGTCAGATATCATCTGTGTTTCCCATTTTAGCTAGGTGACCATTGAGAAATGTGAGGAATGTGAACAGTGATGAAAAACAGTTAGCTGTTTGATGTATTCTAACTGTTCTGACTTCTCACTAATTTTGACTTTATCACTGGTGGAAGGAAGCCATAATAATATGTTTTAGGCGATCTCGGCTCACTCATTGTGTATTGATCGAGGAAAATAGAATAGCAATGATTCACATTATTTCAGTTCTGTTAGCTTCAGTTATTTCCTGTTAGTTGATCAGCTATTATATTATTTCCATCTAGAGAAGTATCTAACCATTGCTTTTGATAAACCTCTTATTACGAGTCATGTCCATATTTTGGAAAATAGATAAGTTTTCACGAGTGTACACGACTCCTTACTATTTCTTAGTTTGTTCGCAGTTCGTGTTTATTTGAACTGTTTACAGGAGACGGTAATTTTAATAATTGATCTTCTGATTTATTCTACTGCTTAACTAGCATTGTTGGTGGAGTGTGGGTGTATCGCGTACGGTTGGAAAGTTGTTGTGTCCCAATGGGCAACTGAATGACGATGCGAACTCTTAACACGTTGAGACGTTGAAATCCCACTCTTGAGACCACACAACACTGAAAAGAATATCCGTTCATTGTGGGACGGTTGAGTTGTCACCGGCTCCCTCGGTCAGTATTAAAAACGTACAGTCAATGATGAAGAAGTCCACCTGATCTTGCAAATATTCACATGTCTCTGTGTGTATCTGTAAGTAGCTGGATAGTCGAGGTTGTGGACGAAACGTATTCCCAGAGCTGGAGTGATCTCGCTCAACTCAAAATTCCTTAATCACTGAATATCGGGATGACGGGATTCTTCAATTAACGGCAACAAGAAAATATATTTCTAGAATACGCTCGTCATGTGACATTGCTCAGGTGTCGTTGATGACGTCGATAACAACAATGATGACGCGGGTAATGACAACATAGAAGAGTAAGTAGAATAAGAACAGACAGTGATGGTCAGGACGACAGTCCTGACGATGATAGAGACAGAGACATACAGAATGGTGACGATGACGACGATTGTGTTTTCTAGAGAAATTCCACCTTTAGATTGCCATTGCTTTCCAGAAAAGTGTGATATTGTGGTGTTCCGAACTAAATCACATGGTAGAATATGTGCGAGAAAGTCCAGCAGTTAGTGATAACTGTCAAAATGCAATGGTTGTGTTGGTGAATGTGTAGTAGTCGATCGACTTAAGGTCTGAGCTCATGTGTGTAACCACTGTTTGAAATAATAAACTATTCTATAGGAACTTTGTAGTATTCACCCACCCGTCTAGTACTGAGAGAAGATTTGTGCCTCAGTGGTTGTTTTGCATGTGGCCGTGTTGAATGATTTTGATGATGAAATGTTCATGGTCGAAATTAACTGAAGTATATTTATTTGTCAATGAAATTATTTTGCAACAGCTCCTCGTTGTCGTCCTGGTCAATATCAGTGTTCTTCTGGTGAATGCATTGAACAACAAATGAGGTGTGATGGTCGGCAAGATTGTCGGGACGCTTCAGATGAGACTGGTTGCCGTAAGTCAGATATCATCTGTGTTTCCCATTTTAGCTAGGTGACCATTGAGAAATGTGAGGAATGTGAACAGTGATGAAAAACAGTTAGCTGTTTGATGTATTCTAACTGTTCTGACTTCTCACTAATTTTGACTTTATCACTGGTGGAAGGAAGCCATAATAATATGTTTTAGGCGATCTCGGCTCACTCATTGTGTATTGATCGAGGAAAATAGAATAGCAATGATTCACATTATTTCAGTTCTGTTAGCTTCAGTTATTTCCTGTTAGTTGATCAGCTATTATATTATTTCCATCTAGAGAAGTATCTAACCATTGCTTTTGATAAACCTCTTATTACGAGCCATGTCCATATTTTGGAAAATAGATAAGTTTTCACGAGTGTACACGACTCCTTACTATTTCTTAGTTTGTTCGCAGTTCGTGTTTATTTGAACTGTTTACAGGAGACGGTAATTTTAATAATTGATCTTCTGATTTATTCTACTGCTTAACTAGCATTGTTGGTGGAGTGTGGGTGTATCGCGTACGGTTGGAAAGTTGTTGTGTCCCAATGGGCAACTGAATGACGATGCGAACTCTTAACACGTTGAGACGTTGAAATCCCACTCTTGAGACCACACAACACTGAAAAGAATATCCGTTCATTGTGGGACGGTTGAGTTGTCACCGGCTCCCTCGGTCAGTATTAAAAACGTACAGTCAATGATGAAGAAGTCCACCTGATCTTGCAAATATTCACATGTCTCTGTGTGTATCTGTAAGTAGCTGGATAGTCGAGGTTGTGGACGAAACGTATTCCCAGAGCTGGAGTGATCTCGCTCAACTCAAAATTCCTTAATCACTGAATATCGGGATGACGGGATTCTTCAATTAACGGCAACAAGAAAATATATTTCTAGAATACGCTCGTCATGTGACATTGCTCAGGTGTCGTTGATGACGTCGATAACAACAATGATGACGCGGGTAATGACAACATAGAAGAGTAAGTAGAATAAGAACAGACAGTGATGGTCAGGACGACAGTCCTGACGATGATAGAGACAGAGACATACAGAATGGTGACGATGACGACGATTGTGTTTTCTAGAGAAATTCCACCTTTAGATTGCCATTGCTTTCCAGAAAAGTGTGATATTGTGGTGTTCCGAACTAAATCACATGGTAGAATATGTGCGAGAAAGTCCAGCAGTTAGTGATAACTGTCAAAATGCAATGGTTGTGTTGGTGAATGTGTAGTAGTCGATCGACTTAAGGTCTGAGCTCATGTGTGTAACCACTGTTTGAAATAATAAACTATTCTATAGGAACTTTGTAGTATTCACCCACCCGTCTAGTACTGAGAGAAGATTTGTGCCTCAGTGGTTGTTTTGCATGTGGCCGTGTTGAATGATTTTGATGATGAAATGTTCATGGTCGAAATTAACTGAAGTATATTTATTTGTCAATGAAATTATTTTGCAACAGCTCCTCGTTGTCGTCCTGGTCAATATCAGTGTTCTTCTGGTGAATGCATTGAACAACAAATGAGGTGTGATGGTCGGCAAGATTGTCGGGACGCTTCAGATGAGACTGGTTGCCGTAAGTCAGATATCATCTGTGTTTCCCATTTTAGCTAGGTGACCATTGAGAAATGTGAGGAATGTGAACAGTGATGAAAAACAGTTAGCTGTTTGATGTATTCTAACTGTTCTGACTTCTCACTAATTTTGACTTTATCACTGGTGGAAGGAAGCCATAATAATATGTTTTAGGCGATCTCGGCTCACTCATTGTGTATTGATCGAGGAAAATAGAATAGCAATGATTCACATTATTTCAGTTCTGTTAGCTTCAGTTATTTCCTGTTAGTTGATCAGCTATTATATTATTTCCATCTAGAGAAGTATCTAACCATTGCTTTTGATAAACCTCTTATTACGAGTCATGTCCATATTTTGGAAAATAGATAAGTTTTCACGAGTGTACACGACTCCTTACTATTTCTTAGTTTGTTCGCAGTTCGTGTTTATTTGAACTGTTTACAGGAGACGGTAATTTTAATAATTGATCTTCTGATTTATTCTACTGCTTAACTAGCATTGTTGGTGGAGTGTGGGTGTATCGCGTACGGTTGGAAAGTTGTTGTGTCCCAATGGGCAACTGAATGACGATGCGAACTCTTAACACGTTGAGACGTTGAAATCCCACTCTTGAGACCACACAACACTGAAAAGAATATCCGTTCATTGTGGGACGGTTGAGTTGTCACCGGCTCCCTCGGTCAGTATTAAAAACGTACAGTCAATGATGAAGAAGTCCACCTGATCTTGCAAATATTCACATGTCTCTGTGTGTATCTGTAAGTAGCTGGATAGTCGAGGTTGTGGACGAAACGTATTCCCAGAGCTGGAGTGATCTCGCTCAACTCAAAATTCCTTAATCACTGAATATCGGGATGACGGGATTCTTCAATTAACGGCAACAAGAAAATATATTTCTAGAATACGCTCGTCATGTGACATTGCTCAGGTGTCGTTGATGACGTCGATAACAACAATGATGACGCGGGTAATGACAACATAGAAGAGTAAGTAGAATAAGAACAGACAGTGATGGTCAGGACGACAGTCCTGACGATGATAGAGACAGAGACATACAGAATGGTGACGATGACGACGATTGTGTTTTCTAGAGAAATTCCACCTTTAGATTGCCATTGCTTTCCAGAAAAGTGTGATATTGTGGTGTTCCGAACTAAATCACATGGTAGAATATGTGCGAGAAAGTCCAGCAGTTAGTGATAACTGTCAAAATGCAATGGTTGTGTTGGTGAATGTGTAGTAGTCGATCGACTTAAGGTCTGAGCTCATGTGTGTAACCACTGTTTGAAATAATAAACTATTCTATAGGAACTTTGTAGTATTCACCCACCCGTCTAGTACTGAGAGAAGATTTGTGCCTCAGTGGTTGTTTTGCATGTGGCCGTGTTGAATGATTTTGATGATGAAATGTTCATGGTCGAAATTAACTGAAGTATATTTATTTGTCAATGAAATTATTTTGCAACAGCTCCTCGTTGTCGTCCTGGTCAATATCAGTGTTCTTCTGGTGAATGCATTGAACAACAAATGAGGTGTGATGGTCGGCAAGATTGTCGGGACGCTTCAGATGAGACTGGTTGCCGTAAGTCAGATATCATCTGTGTTTCCCATTTTAGCTAGGTGACCATTGAGAAATGTGAGGAATGTGAACAGTGATGAAAAACAGTTAGCTGTTTGATGTATTCTAACTGTTCTGACTTCTCACTAATTTTGACTTTATCACTGGTGGAAGGAAGCCATAATAATATGTTTTAGGCGATCTCGGCTCACTCATTGTGTATTGATCGAGGAAAATAGAATAGCAATGATTCACATTATTTCAGTTCTGTTAGCTTCAGTTATTTCCTGTTAGTTGATCAGCTATTATATTATTTCCATCTAGAGAAGTATCTAACCATTGCTTTTGATAAACCTCTTATTACGAGTCATGTCCATATTTTGGAAAATAGATAAGTTTTCACGAGTGTACACGACTCCTTACTATTTCTTAGTTTGTTCGCAGTTCGTGTTTATTTGAACTGTTTACAGGAGACGGTAATTTTAATAATTGATCTTCTGATTTATTCTACTGCTTAACTAGCATTGTTGGTGGAGTGTGGGTGTATCGCGTACGGTTGGAAAGTTGTTGTGTCCCAATGGGCAACTGAATGACGATGCGAACTCTTAACACGTTGAGACGTTGAAATCCCACTCTTGAGACCACACAACACTGAAAAGAATATCCGTTCATTGTGGGACGGTTGAGTTGTCACCGGCTCCCTCGGTCAGTATTAAAAACGTACAGTCAATGATGAAGAAGTCCACCTGATCTTGCAAATATTCACATGTCTCTGTGTGTATCTGTAAGTAGCTGGATAGTCGAGGTTGTGGACGAAACGTATTCCCAGAGCTGGAGTGATCTCGCTCAACTCAAAATTCCTTAATCACTGAATATCGGGATGACGGGATTCTTCAATTAACGGCAACAAGAAAATATATTTCTAGAATACGCTCGTCATGTGACATTGCTCAGGTGTCGTTGATGACGTCGATAACAACAATGATGACGCGGGTAATGACAACATAGAAGAGTAAGTAGAATAAGAACAGACAGTGATGGTCAGGACGACAGTCCTGACGATGATAGAGACAGAGACATACAGAATGGTGACGATGACGACGATTGTGTTTTCTAGAGAAATTCCACCTTTAGATTGCCATTGCTTTCCAGAAAAGTGTGATATTGTGGTGTTCCGAACTAAATCACATGGTAGAATATGTGCGAGAAAGTCCAGCAGTTAGTGATAACTGTCAAAATGCAATGGTTGTGTTGGTGAATGTGTAGTAGTCGATCGACTTAAGGTCTGAGCTCATGTGTGTAACCACTGTTTGAAATAATAAACTATTCTATAGGAACTTTGTAGTATTCACCCACCCGTCTAGTACTGAGAGAAGATTTGTGCCTCAGTGGTTGTTTTGCATGTGGCCGTGTTGAATGATTTTGATGATGAAATGTTCATGGTCGAAATTAACTGAAGTATATTTATTTGTCAATGAAATTATTTTGCAACAGCTCCTCGTTGTCGTCCTGGTCAATATCAGTGTTCTTCTGGTGAATGCATTGAACAACAAATGAGGTGTGATGGTCGGCAAGATTGTCGGGACGCTTCAGATGAGACTGGTTGCCGTAAGTCAGATATCATCTGTGTTTCCCATTTTAGCTAGGTGACCATTGAGAAATGTGAGGAATGTGAACAGTGATGAAAAACAGTTAGCTGTTTGATGTATTCTAACTGTTCTGACTTCTCACTAATTTTGACTTTATCACTGGTGGAAGGAAGCCATAATAATATGTTTTAGGCGATCTCGGCTCACTCATTGTGTATTGATCGAGGAAAATAGAATAGCAATGATTCACATTATTTCAGTTCTGTTAGCTTCAGTTATTTCCTGTTAGTTGATCAGCTATTATATTATTTCCATCTAGAGAAGTATCTAACCATTGCTTTTGATAAACCTCTTATTACGAGTCATGTCCATATTTTGGAAAATAGATAAGTTTTCACGAGTGTACACGACTCCTTACTATTTCTTAGTTTGTTCGCAGTTCGTGTTTATTTGAACTGTTTACAGGAGACGGTAATTTTAATAATTGATCTTCTGATTTATTCTACTGCTTAACTAGCATTGTTGGTGGAGTGTGGGTGTATCGCGTACGGTTGGAAAGTTGTTGTGTCCCAATGGGCAACTGAATGACGATGCGAACTCTTAACACGTTGAGACGTTGAAATCCCACTCTTGAGACCACACAACACTGAAAAGAATATCCGTTCATTGTGGGACGGTTGAGTTGTCACCGGCTCCCTCGGTCAGTATTAAAAACGTACAGTCAATGATGAAGAAGTCCACCTGATCTTGCAAATATTCACATGTCTCTGTGTGTATCTGTAAGTAGCTGGATAGTCGAGGTTGTGGACGAAACGTATTCCCAGAGCTGGAGTGATCTCGCTCAACTCAAAATTCCTTAATCACTGAATATCGGGATGACGGGATTCTTCAATTAACGGCAACAAGAAAATATATTTCTAGAATACGCTCGTCATGTGACATTGCTCAGGTGTCGTTGATGACGTCGATAACAACAATGATGACGCGGGTAATGACAACATAGAAGAGTAAGTAGAATAAGAACAGACAGTGATGGTCAGGACGACAGTCCTGACGATGATAGAGACAGAGACATACAGAATGGTGACGATGACGACGATTGTGTTTTCTAGAGAAATTCCACCTTTAGATTGCCATTGCTTTCCAGAAAAGTGTGATATTGTGGTGTTCCGAACTAAATCACATGGTAGAATATGTGCGAGAAAGTCCAGCAGTTAGTGATAACTGTCAAAATGCAATGGTTGTGTTGGTGAATGTGTAGTAGTCGATCGACTTAAGGTCTGAGCTCATGTGTGTAACCACTGTTTGAAATAATAAACTATTCTATAGGAACTTTGTAGTATTCACCCACCCGTCTAGTACTGAGAGAAGATTTGTGCCTCAGTGGTTGTTTTGCATGTGGCCGTGTTGAATGATTTTGATGATGAAATGTTCATGGTCGAAATTAACTGAAGTATATTTATTTGTCAATGAAATTATTTTGCAACAGCTCCTCGTTGTCGTCCTGGTCAATATCAGTGTTCTTCTGGTGAATGCATTGAACAACAAATGAGGTGTGATGGTCGGCAAGATTGTCGGGACGCTTCAGATGAGACTGGTTGCCGTAAGTCAGATATCATCTGTGTTTCCCATTTTAGCTAGGTGACCATTGAGAAATGTGAGGAATGTGAACAGTGATGAAAAACAGTTAGCTGTTTGATGTATTCTAACTGTTCTGACTTCTCACTAATTTTGACTTTATCACTGGTGGAAGGAAGCCATAATAATATGTTTTAGGCGATCTCGGCTCACTCATTGTGTATTGATCGAGGAAAATAGAATAGCAATGATTCACATTATTTCAGTTCTGTTAGCTTCAGTTATTTCCTGTTAGTTGATCAGCTATTATATTATTTCCATCTAGAGAAGTATCTAACCATTGCTTTTGATAAACCTCTTATTACGAGTCATGTCCATATTTTGGAAAATAGATAAGTTTTCACGAGTGTACACGACTCCTTACTATTTCTTAGTTTGTTCGCAGTTCGTGTTTATTTGAACTGTTTACAGGAGACGGTAATTTTAATAATTGATCTTCTGATTTATTCTACTGCTTAACTAGCATTGTTGGTGGAGTGTGGGTGTATCGCGTACGGTTGGAAAGTTGTTGTGTCCCAATGGGCAACTGAATGACGATGCGAACTCTTAACACGTTGAGACGTTGAAATCCCACTCTTGAGACCACACAACACTGAAAAGAATATCCGTTCATTGTGGGACGGTTGAGTTGTCACCGGCTCCCTCGGTCAGTATTAAAAACGTACAGTCAATGATGAAGAAGTCCACCTGATCTTGCAAATATTCACATGTCTCTGTGTGTATCTGTAAGTAGCTGGATAGTCGAGGTTGTGGACGAAACGTATTCCCAGAGCTGGAGTGATCTCGCTCAACTCAAAATTCCTTAATCACTGAATATCGGGATGACGGGATTCTTCAATTAACGGCAACAAGAAAATATATTTCTAGAATACGCTCGTCATGTGACATTGCTCAGGTGTCGTTGATGACGTCGATAACAACAATGATGACGCGGGTAATGACAACATAGAAGAGTAAGTAGAATAAGAACAGACAGTGATGGTCAGGACGACAGTCCTGACGATGATAGAGACAGAGACATACAGAATGGTGACGATGACGACGATTGTGTTTTCTAGAGAAATTCCACCTTTAGATTGCCATTGCTTTCCAGAAAAGTGTGATATTGTGGTGTTCCGAACTAAATCACATGGTAGAATATGTGCGAGAAAGTCCAGCAGTTAGTGATAACTGTCAAAATGCAATGGTTGTGTTGGTGAATGTGTAGTAGTCGATCGACTTAAGGTCTGAGCTCATGTGTGTAACCACTGTTTGAAATAATAAACTATTCTATAGGAACTTTGTAGTATTCACCCACCCGTCTAGTACTGAGAGAAGATTTGTGCCTCAGTGGTTGTTTTGCATGTGGCCGTGTTGAATGACTTTGATGATGAAATGTTCATGGTCGAAATTAACTGAAGTATATTTATTTGTCAATGAAATTATTTTGCAACAGCTCCTCGTTGTCGTCCTGGTCAATATCAGTGTTCTTCTGGTGAATGCATTGAACAACAAATGAGGTGTGATGGTCGGCAAGATTGTCGGGACGCTTCAGATGAGACTGGTTGCCGTAAGTCAGATATCATCTGTGTTTCCCATTTTAGCTAGGTGACCATTGAGAAATGTGAGGAATGTGAACAGTGATGAAAAACAGTTAGCTGTTTGATGTATTCTAACTGTTCTGACTTCTCACTAATTTTGACTTTATCACTGGTGGAAGGAAGCCATAATAATATGTTTTAGGCGATCTCGGCTCACTCATTGTGTATTGATCGAGGAAAATAGAATAGCAATGATTCACATTATTTCAGTTCTGTTAGCTTCAGTTATTTCCTGTTAGTTGATCAGCTATTATATTATTTCCATCTAGAGAAGTATCTAACCATTGCTTTTGATAAACCTCTTATTACGAGTCATGTCCATATTTTGGAAAATAGATAAGTTTTCACGAGTGTACACGACTCCTTACTATTTCTTAGTTTGTTCGCAGTTCGTGTTTATTTGAACTGTTTACAGGAGACGGTAATTTTAATAATTGATCTTGTAATTCATTCTACGGCTTTGCTATTATTTTAGTTTATTTTCTTCCTAGCTCTCTTATATTTTAATCTTTGACGGAAGCTTGTTCAACGATATGTCCGATCATATATGAGGAACTGACTTTCTGATATTCCGTATTTGATCATCGTCATCGTTTTTGTCTTTTAATTTTTATGCGATAAACACCTTTTCAGTCTGCTTATATTGCTATACTAGTTGTATTCATTATCCATATTTTCAGAGATTCTGTTGGTAGTGTTTGTTAATTAAAATTAGTTTTTTTGTACGTAAATTACAGGAAGGAAATTAGCACCCAAGATGTTTTCTAGATGCGACGAACATTATTTGAATGATATGAATTTCCCGGTCAGGGTAATCTGTATTATTATTATTGCTACTAATTAGGTGATTTTGAAACTGTAGACCAAGGAATAGAAGAAATTATGCTTTGAGAAATGTAGATCTGGATGCTACAATTTCTAGTGATAACATAATTATAGGAGTGAAGCGTATTCGGATGTGTAAGTGAATAATAAAATCCCTGAGCCTACTGAAATATCTGACGATGACAATATTGGCGTTATTTGTTTCAACCGACAAGTGTAAAAAACCGTTCATGTGAATGGGTCAGGTGTTGGAGCTGCAGCTCATTCAGCCATCTTGTCTGTTGTGCGAGGACTGCTAAGGGTAACCCCTAATGTATGTAATGTTATGATTATGGTATGTAGTCATTGGTTCTGCAAATGGATGCCACATTGAATAATACTTTTATTGTTAATTGATTTTGCATTTGATTCTACTGGAATAGTTTTATGCAATATTTTAACGACGTTTACCATCATTTCTTCCCTTTGTAGGAGAACGAGTAAATATTCGTGTAGTGCCAGATGTCATTTATACACAACCGTACGAAAGATGGAAGTTTGAATGTTCTGTGTTGGGTGCAGATGTAGAACCAATAGTTAAATTTCAAGATGGTAGACTTGTCGAATCAGATCCTAACTTTCGAGTCACTCGCATTGATCCTAACACTGTTAGTGTTGAAGCGATTCATGGCTTAACGGAAAAAAAGGAGCGTTTCAGTTTCATGTAAGGAGATTCGCTATGAGTTTTCTTATTTATATATCTTTTGGTCAAATTAATATACTTTGCAATCTGAATACAGACTTAATCCTTAAATTCCTTTCTTAAGCAACAAGTTTTCTTATGACTTACTTAATTTAAGGTTTTGGAAAGTTTTGATAGTATTTTCCAGTCTTTCTTAGTCTATATGCTAGAATATTATCTAGTAACCATCTACAGTTTTGGAATTATTTGGTACTTGTTAAATAAACTATCGTACAAACAAATTTTATTACCACTTCTCAATTTTATGATATAATATACTTGATTGATCTAGTTTAAATGAACTTCTGAAGTTTTAAATTTACGTCAAATAGGCTTTTTATGGAGAACATTGTCAATTGTGATATAATCCTGGCTTGATATTTTCCTGGATAGTGATCACCATGATAAGTTTTAAATATACTCTTATTAAAAGCCGTTTACTCAGTACATTACTTTGATGCGTATATGAAAAAAGTATACTTATAATAGGATTCATTTTGGAAACCTAACTTACTGACCTAGTTACCCATAAAACGAGCCCTTTACGATGTGATGAGTAGATCTAATTATTAAGTGTCTGTAAATCGGAAAATAGTGTAAGAGTGTTTAACAGTGATATTATAAATACTGAACGATAGTAATTTTGTCACTATATTTAAAGGAATTTTAATTCTACTTAAATCAATAAGGTTTCAAAACAAAGTCCACATGATAAGGATCAATTAGTTTATTTAAAAAAGGACGGTGAAATACAACGACAAATAAAACTATTAATTAAGATAAAGCAACCCCACCTAACTGTTGAGATATGTTTGTCTTCATGATACATCAATGTTGTAGGATACTGTACAGTACTCATAAAATTATTGAATGTAACTCAAACTACTTGGTATTGATCAGTCGGTCGGTCAGCTACAACGTAGGACCAGGCACATATATGCATTGGTCCAAGTTGTCATACCTCATTAGCACAACAAGATGAACATCAAATTCATAGAAGTAGTTAATTTAATGGTGGTAATATATAAAAGAAAGGTTGTATATAAGGATATAGTACAGGAAGAAAGACAGATATGAAGCAATTTCAATCTCAAGGTTTAAGGGAAGATAAAGAGTGTATACATCGACGCCATTATGATCAATTCTGAACCATGTCCCCTTAAGTCTTCAACTATTGTTTACAATAGTCACGTGGACCCCAACCAAGTAGCCTGCAACTACCAACATGGCTCAGACCAGAAGTTAGTGACTTCAAGCTCTGATGCCACGTTTTGGTTCGGCCGTTCCTAACCCTCTTCCAACCATTGCCAATACTAGTCAGAATAGCGCGTCGTGGTGATCAGTATTCAGGCATACTTAACACGTGGCCCAACCATCTCAGTCGGTGAAGATTCACAACCTCATTAACTGATTTACCATCCTTCCCTTATACCCTTAATCTGACCTCACTATTACTTACCTGGTGAACCCAGCAAATGCGAGCAATATTTCTAAGGTATCTGTGGTCAAATACTAGTAACTTACGAGTATCTTCTCCTCTCCTCTATGGCCACGTTTCACAGCCGTAAAGTAGAACAGAGCGAACTGCTGTGCAGTATACTCGTCCCTTGGTATTGATAATCAGTACTTTATGCCATACGAATGAATAGATGTGGTTGAAAGATGAAAAACAGTTTTAACGCATTATGTATGATGATACAGTATTTTGTTTAACTTATATGAACAGTAAATGCAAACTACCGTGTAATTCTGTTACATCAAAAAATTTGATTAAATGATTCTTTTACATATATTCATTTCACTATCATACTAAATGTGTTAAATGTCACCAGAACCTATCCACTTATTATCAAATAGTACAATCAGACTGACTATCAAGTTTCATTTCATTCATCGTTTGAAAGTTATAGACCAGATCAAAATGTTAAACTTCTTTAATAATTATGTTGTTTGTTTTTAAATGAAAATTTCTTTCAAATATTTTATTTTTCATTTGATCATGAATAATATCTTACCTACCAATCAACTGCTAGATATAAAGTAACATTACTAGTGCAATTATTGCTAATTATTTCACAGATGTACATTCCCTGGTGGACCAGAAGAGGAGATAGACGTTTTCGTTCGACGACGATGTCCTCATGGTCAATTCATGTGTAAAGATGGAACATGTCGTCCAGAAACTGATTTCTGTAATGGTCAAGTTGATTGTCCTGATGGTTCAGATGAGCGACCTCCATATTGTAGTAAGTTCGAATAAGCAATAAATACTTTATGATATATTCCTTATTATTGTTTTGATATTTTAAATTGTGTAATTCTTTACAATAAGTAACTAAGGAGCTCTATCTCAAATTTATCAAATTCAATTTATATTCATATATTATATTGAGATCCTACCAGCTGAAAATTACAAATGATTATTTTAAGTCATATCCTACTATCGGAAGAGGGTTTTGTGGAGATTTTAGTAATTTTATATAGTTGAAATCATTAGGCAATTGAAACTAGACCACCATGGAAAACCTGGAAGTATATCCTACTGTTTTAATTATTTGGTTACACAAAAAGGGACAATCGAAATTACTTAAACAAAAAGTGACAGAATCTCTTAATAAAACCTCAGAATCATACAGTGAATACTTAATTTGCAAAATGTCAATCAATTGTCTAAAACTTGACTTTTCCTTTTGTAAATGTCAGTCAAACGCCCTAGACTTTACTGTTCCTTCATTTTCATATCAATTACTTTCCATTCCCGTTTTTTTCTCATTTTCAATCTTCTCGACCGTCTGTTACCAGACATTATATTCCTGACTAGTGTTATATACTACTAATGTCGATATAAGTAGCACACACCATACTAATAGTCTAGATTATCATTAACTTACAAATTGATAATTTTATTACTTATTTTTAAAAATGACTATTACAATATTTACTAGTATTCTAGAAATTTCATGAAAAACTCAAGGACTTCTAAACTACTATGAAAACCCTATATTTTCTGCACATAAATGAACCTTTGGAGTAAAGTGCTTCTCGTATATTTTGCGCCTTTTCTCTCGTGTTCAAGTCGCTGTGTAGTTCTAGCTTGGAGGTTACGAGACTAGCCTAGGATCCGAGCATAGCGTTTAATCAACAAGACTTATCAGATATCGATTTATTATGTATTTTTAAAAACTTGTTTTTAATTTTAGGTAATTCATTTCACCTAATTATGTTGTAAAGAAAAGAATTTTACTCTAAATTTTAATAAGATTACAACAGAATCTTTATAGTTGAAATCATGAGTCAATTGAAGCTAAACAACTATGGAAAACCTGGAAGCACTAAACGGCCGTTTTGTCTTATTATGGGACTCCTCAGCACTGGGAAGCAGTGACCAGTGGAGTTCATCAACGTCTGTGGTAGAGATATCAACTCACTAAAGACAATGGTAGATGTGTCGCTCAATTTCGTGAATCGGTTGAAGTTAGACATTAACACCGTTGGATGCCGCCTCAGTGATCTAGAGGTTAAGTGCTCTGGTACGAGATTGGTAGGTCCTGAGTTCGAATGTCATGAAGCGGGATCATGGATGCGCACTGCTGAGGAGTCCCACAATAGAACGAAACGGCCGTCCAGTGCTTCCTGGTTTTCCATAGTGGTCTAGTTTCAATTGACTCATGATTTCAACTATGAAAATACTAAAATCTTCACAAAACCCCTTCTGATCTAGAACAGAATCATCGAGAATATTCTTTTTTTAAGTATTTTATCATGTTATCATGTTTTTAAATAAAAATAATTAACATCTTTATCTAATGAAATAGGACAAATTATACAAGTGGAAATCAAACCAAGCATTATTCATGTTCAACCATATAAACCTTTTGAATTTGAATGTATTTCCCATGTTCCTGGAATAAAACCAGAAGCTCGATTATCTAGCGGTATACTTGTAAGTCAAGATCCACGTTTTAATGTGGAATATCTTTCACCGAATCGTCTTCGTGTTAATGCAATATATGGTTTGACAGATAGAGATCATCCTTTCCAGATTCAGTAAGTTCTAAATTGAAAAAAATTATTTGAATAAATATTAATAACATTAATGATAAATAATTATTTCAAATACAAGTGTAATCAACCGCCATCACTTGAGAATTCATTGAATCAAGTGACAGGTATAAGATGTTAGCCTATTCTCATTTGCATATCTTTCATCAGTCACCTATTGTCAAATCAATTCTAAATTCTTTACTTCATACCAGTGGTTAAAGTCAAATCATATTCTTAATCTATTGTATTCTCAAATTATTCATGTTTATCTTGTACTCATTTAACGAAATAATTTTTTTTCTTGTAGTTGTATCTTCCCTGGATTAGAAAATAGAACTACTGTAATAGAAATTGAAAGACCTTGTCCAAGTGGACAGTTTCAATGTATGGATGGACGATGTTTACCATTTAATTTATTTTGTGATGGCAAATCGGATTGTTCAGATAGTTCAGATGAAAGTGAACGATACTGTGGTAAATAAGTGTTTAGATTGTTATTTTTTTATTATCCTTTAATCTTCTTTAAATATTAATAATCATATTTTATAGCAAAGACTTGATAGGTCTATCGAAAACCATGAATTAATCTTTTTGAATAGAATTTTATGACACTTTATGTTTTCACTGTTTAAGTTTTTTCAAATTCGGTGAGTTAAGTTATGAAAACCGATAACACAGCAATGAGAAAGGATCAAACAGACAGCGACACGCATTGATGAATTCCTTGGCAGGTAGCGAATACAAAATCCATTTAGTTTGCACATAAAAACATATGGAGTGGGAATTTCATAAAGTCGAAATATTGAATAGACTATTCTAAATTATATGACCTACTATGTTTGAGGGATATCTCTTTATCAGAAACATATTTTTTCAAAAATATCAGTATCCAAGTACGATCAAAAATGTTTTCTAGCTTGAAATCGATCTTTTTGATACTACAGGATTTTGACTGAAATATCGAATATTAAACAGCTGATACAATGATAATAACTCAACCCTCATCTTATAGCATTTACAATTGTCTTCATGTTAAACCTATTGGTTCCTCACAATTATAACACAAGAAAATTCATATTCAATTTACGCTATTTTTGACTAAAAAACCGTAAAGAACAAACAAATTGTATTATTTAACCTTTACCAAAATGTTTAAACTTTTGAAAATAGTCAACCTTTCTATCCATTTATAATAGGTCGATGCACAATGTGCACCATACTACTGGTGTCGAAGACTTAATTATGTCCTTCACTGAGGTATATTAAAACGATTAAGTTTTTTATACGTCACTTGTAGGAACATGAATATAGTAGAGCAAGAGCGCACAATCTGATAAATTCAGTTTACCTTATCACCGTAAAATCACTTAAGGATAAAACATTCTCAGGTGGGAGGACATTTTTCTCCAATATCCAATCCCATGCTGAAAATAGGAATTAATTCATTACACCATTGTTATACATGAATGATAGACAAATTCATTCGAAGGTTATTCATATCAAGAGATGACACGATCTGAAGACGCATTAGAAACTACCTATATCGCTCAGTTACAGAAATCTTCGTGAATGAGGACTCACATTCCTGCACAAGACAAAACCCAGGACCCTCAGGTCTGACGGCAAACATTAGCACCCTTAAACCAACTAGTTGGGATTCGGATGGCTGATTGTTCCATTTGTTGTCGGTTTGTTGTTTAAAGGAAATTACATCATGTGGCATCGGTGGATTATCTTTTCTCTCAGTTTGAGATGAAAATTGCATTTAGGTTGATAAAAATCTCCACAAAATTCCTATTACTAGACTTCTCACTAACTGGATCCATTCAAGTTTAGTTTAGTCAAATACTGATAACTTGAAAACACTATATTGTTAATGCTAAAGCCAAATACAGTTTTTGTTCTGCAATGTCTTGACCTATGATCTGGCCCAAGATAAACTTATCAAATCAAATTTTAAAACATCTAGGAAATGGTTGTTATATTTCTTTCTACAGATTTCGTATCACAAATTTCATTTTAGCTGTAAACATCAGAGTGACACCAGGTTCGATTCGTGTGATCCCAAATCAACGTTTCCAATTCGAATGTTCAACATCGATCCCAGGTGTATCTCCCCAAGTAACTTTTGACGAGCGTTCGGTAGAAAGAGATAATCGTTTTGTTGTTACTCGTCCAAGTCTTCAAACTATAGTGGTGACAGCACCAACTGGTATATCAGATATTGGAGCTCACAAATTTAAGTAAGAATTAATTAAATCCATTCCATTTATTATAATTTTTCAAAATAAAAAATCATACATTTTGAAAGGTTTATAAAGAATATTAAGCATTAAATTATAGATTTTTCTAACAGCAGTAAATTCTCACCTTTCAGTAGAGGTTATAGTTCTGTTGATCTACACACTATTAATAATCGTTAAAAATATGTTATAATGTGATTAAGATGAAGGATTCGTCAGTTGGCCATTAAGATTGTGTAGATTTAATTCAAAGGAAGCAAAAAACATAACACACAATAATGTTTTTTGTCGTTAGGTAGAATTGAACTAATCATATTGTCAAAAATGAGATATTTGTTCGAATAATTGATATGCATACAGAAGTTATTGTTGTAGTGTAGTTTTAAAGTCAATCAAGAATTCTAACCCAGTTGATGGTGGCAAACTGAATGCAAATGATACAAAATATTTCATCAAAGGAATATTATTCTCAGAAGGGGATTTTGTGGATATTATAGTAATTTTAATAGTTGAGATCATGAATCAATTGAAGCTGGAAAACCTGGAAGCACTGGACGACCGTTTCGTCCTATTATGGGACTCCTCAGCAGTGATAGTGGAGTTCAACCAGGTCTGTTGGGAAATTTCAACTCACTGAAGACAATAATGAATGTGTCGCTCAATTTCTTGGATTGGTTGAAGTTAGACATTAACGCCTTTGGAAGCCGTCTCAGTGATCTAGAGGTTGAGCGTTCGCGTGCGAGACTGATAGGTCCCAGGTTCGAATCTCGCGAGGAGGAGTCGTGGATGGGCTTGCTGAGGCGTCCCACAATAGGACGAAACGGCCATCCAGTGCTTCCAGGTTTTCGATGGTGGTCTAGCTTCAACTGACTCATGATTTCAACTATTGGAATATTATTTTACTTACAAGTCATGATAATTAGAATGGCGTCCTTTATAATTAGAAGTATTTTATACTAAGTGATGAATTATTGTATTGTAAACTCATCATTTGAAACAAGAATTACTAAATAGTGTATGATGTTTATTTCCATGTCGTATTACGAAAATGCTGGTTAAGAATTCTACAGACAGACACTTCGTCTGTTCTGTGTTTGGCATGAAAATAGATTATGACTAAACATTATTCTAGCTTATAATAAATTAATGTGTTACATTTTTATTGAGTTTAATGGAGACAATCGCCGATATATTTAAATAAAGCTGCATTGAGATCCTTCACCACATTTAAACGTTTATCAGAATGATTATGAACAAACAGTATAAAAATAATATTTTTCCCAGCTTTAATGTGTTCATTATAAGCAGGAACCATAGAAATGATAGATTTGATGGGAAAATATTTCAAATAAATTTTTATCGTTTATATTACTGTTTACTATTGATCAATAGCCAGCCAAATCCTTTAGAAGTCGAATTCACAAACTAATCTAAGCTAGATCACTACTGAAAACCTGGAAGCACTAGACACACATCTCATCATAGTATGAAACTCTCCAAAAGTAACCATCCACAAAATCTCACTCCGCGATCGAACACTGCACGTTCGGTATCACGCTCTAGATCACTCAACCGGTATCCAATGTTGTTAGTGTTTGACTTCAATCACCCCATGATTTTGCACAACCCATGATCTTTTGTCTGAGATGGATAGCTCTTTCACACTTGATACTGACCGGACTTCACTGGTTACAGCTCCTCACTAAAACTGCATGAGTTACATCTTGAAGCTAGTCACTAGAGAGCACATCATTATGATCGTGGATGCGCACTACTGAAGAGTCACATACAAGGACTAGACGGCTGTCTGGTGCTTCCAGGTTTCCAATGATGGTCTAGCTTAGAACAAACCATGATTTCAACCTTGAAAATACTACAATCTCCACAAATCTCCATAATGATAAGTGAATCTTTGCCAAATTTTAGGTTGAGCAAACTAAATCAGTATGTTTAATATGACCACTGTAAATGTAGAATAAAAAGTGTTTCCTTACAAGATGAGTGATCGTTAACGATCACTGACCCGACTAAGTGAATATTCGAATATTACTTCGATGACAATAGGAAATTTTAATCTAAAGTAAATTGTTTTAGTGTTGAAACTTTAAATGATCATTTAAACTCTATGAGAATTTCAATATTTATAGTCATAAGCATTTTAAAATGATATTTTACCTATTATTTGACTTTCTTAGATGTATTGTATCCGTAAATATTGTTAAAGAAGTTGATGTAGAAATCATAAGTGAATGTCCACCTGGGCAAGCAAAGTGTAGATCTGGTGAATGCTTGCCAAGAGCAGTATTTTGTGATGGTAAATATGATTGTTCAGATAGATCAGATGAAGATCCAAGATCTTGTGGTAAGATTCTCTGTTTACTGAAATAATGATATTTCATCTTAATTTTCAATTATTAAAATTCATACAAATGATAGATTTGATCGATTCTAATCACTAAGGTATGAAGTTTATCAAAACGATAGTAATAATACCCTTTTCTTTATAAGTTTTCTTCTTAAATGTTTATCTAAAGGAAATTATTTGTTAAGATATAATGGTTTTAATTTGAAAAATTAGCCACAGACGTTCGAAATGTGATCCTCTGTTAGACTAAGACAATATGAAATGTAGTATCAAAACAAATTATTTCATGTAACTCTTATGTTTAAGACTCTAGATTGTTATGATTAGATAATCGTACGGTGAAATATTAATATGATCGAGGATCGCTTCTTCATTTGACTGACTAAACCATATAGATTGTTTGTTCGGGAATACGACCGTTAAATTACTTTTCACCAGAAAAATCAGTTAACTGTTATTTATAAACATTATATGCAATAAAACTAATACGTCTTTTACTCATCAGATATCAAATACTCAATGTGGATTAATAGTGAAAATGACTATCAAAAAAATAATAATTTAGAGAGACACAGTTTTATCTATAGTACTAAAGAGTACTGGTGAAATAGACTGGTTTAATGAATAATAATACCAAATAAAAGCTTGGGAAATCCTAACAGTATAAAGAAAGAACAAATCGAGACTTCTGGTGATATTTTGTACTGGCAACATTGAAGACAATGAATCATAATATATTGAAACACCCTAAACATTATTTCAGGTTGTTTTTGACATAACAGTGATAAGTTGCAGTAGCAAAAAAGCATCTTAATGAGTCTATCTAATTTAAAACGAGCTCAATAAATCATTACCATATTTACTTCCGTCAACCAAATTCTAAACCATCCAATGTCGGAACCACTACATCTTGTTTCAGTGATTAGGATTCCCACACGAAGTACTCTTTAGTAGCATGTGTGCATAGCAATTGTTAAATTTTCTAGGTGATTCACTTATCCCAACTAGTGTTATCCTTAGTGTTTCTTCTTCACCTTCATCTTATTTCCGACATAGATAGTAGAGTACACTAATAATGAATATTCTCTTTGCATTTGATGGGTCTAAATAACTGCATCGAAGCATTTCAAAATTGTTTTTGACGTTTTACAAGAAGTTGCTTAATTGCATGATAAATAAGGACTCTTCTTCCTTATAAATAGAAATAATCATATGCGCTTCACAAACACTTTTGATTAGATTAGAGTTTGAAAATGTTAAACTTCTGACGTAGTTGATGATTAACAATATGGTTGAAATGTATAAAAATATTTACGATCACTGATTAAATGCTAAGCATTTTCTTTCTATTCTCATTTTCATTTTGTTGACATCAGTTCCTACAATTATTATTACTCCGTCAACAATTTTAACAAAAACACATGAATCCTTCCAATTTGAATGTAAATCAGTTATACCAGGTGGTGAACCACAAATTACACTTGAAGGTTCTCCAGTTGAAAATGATCCCAGATTTACAATTATACGCCCAAGCCGTGAACATGTTATTGTTCGAGCAGAAAATGGTATTGCTGATCCTGGAAAATATTCTTTCACGTATGAAATTATAGTATACAATTAATAATTCTTAAAAATCCCATTTATTATACAATGATAAAATTCTCATTCTAATATATATTTTATGATTGTTTACTTGAATAAAGACAAAAACCAAGTATAAGTTGTAGGATTTGATAATACTAACCATTTCTCACTGTAGGGCATGCTTTTAAAGGAAAAGTTACTGTTTAATTTTGAAAAGCAAGCTTTTCTTTCAATGTATCATATCGAATATAGTCTACGTTATAAGTTGGTAGGTTATAGAGTTTCGCAATTAAAAAGTGTACTTATGAAGATTTAAATTTAAGATGTTATGGTCGCATGAAAGTTTCTAAAATAGGGTAAATGTATTATGTTTACAAAATCTAACTACGTAGCCGTTCAAGCCAAAATACACTGACCGAAATAAATAAACAAAATAAAGTGAATGGACTACGAAGCTGCCTTTTTAAAACGTTTCGCTGAAACACAGTTGTCCGTCATTCCTCAACATAGGTGATAATTCATTATACTGTCTCTTATTTTGTCAGAATTTGAAGATTCACTAATTTGATATTATTTGTATTCAATGATAACAGTTTTTTTTGCATTTATGTAAATTTGAGTGAATAACCTAAGACCTATTTTATATTTTGATAGAATTTCCATTTGTTATGATATGGGGAATATTATAAATTTCATTCCATTACATTAAGCGTATTATTCTTACCACAGTTTTCTCAAAAAAGATATTTACGGTCTAATAATTCCCATATAGTGTAATCTAGCTAAGACACAATGTGCCTATCAACAATAATTATTGTTTTATGAATCGAATACAACTTTGGTTTATTTTAAACATATGAGAGGGTATATTTCTCTCATCTTACTTCATGCATTCATTAGGTGATGTGATTAGTTTATGCTGTATATTTTTGTTTAAAAATTGGTGATACTACCAGGTTAGTCAAATTAATGTTGAAATGAGATTTCAATTGGTGGCTTACAAGTTGGCAACCGAAAGCTTTGACTGCTAAAACCTAGTATTCTATAATTGTTGAAACCTAGCTATGAAGTCATTTAATTCATTTAAATGAAATTTCTACTTCTTATCAAACTGAATAGTGTAATGATTTTTATGAAATAACAGTTTTGTGAACATATAATTCACGATGTTCACAACATCGTCTGTTTAATGTCAAGTATTCTTTGAGTGGTAAAAACTTAGTTAACGTGACTTTAAATCCGTCAAATTAACAGACTGGTAGATTTTTAGACAAATGAGACTATTTTTCAAGGTATAGCTGATGTAAATTAAAAAATTATAAGTAATGTCCATGATACTAAACTATCAGTTTTAAGAAACTAATCCATTAAAATTACTTAGATTTTAACTAAGTACAATATCGAATATAAATACTTTAAATCCTACCTAGTTATCCTTCATGAATAAAACTTATTTGACTAAACTTTTCAAATATGTATTTGAACTTATCTTCATTTTTGATATCATGAAGCAATTAAATTTCAGAAATAATTCCATTTATATATATTATTTTAAATTCAGCTGTACTGTAGTTAGTGCACCTAGTAAAACAATCGTGGTACAAGTTGAATCAGTGTGTCCACCTGGCTATTCTAAGTGCAAAGATGGAACATGTATCCTGAGTCATCAGTTTTGTGATGGAATAGCTCATTGTCGAGATGGCTCAGACGAAGACAAGTTACGGTGCCGTGAGTTGAACATATCTATATATTGATATTTAATTATTAAATAAAATACTGGGTAAAATAAATGTTATGAATAACATCTTATTATCAGATGAGGGTTTTGTGGAGATTTTAGTAATTTTATATAGTTGAATTCATGAGTCAGTTGAAGCTAGACAACCATGGAAAACCTGGAAGCACTGGACGGCCGTTTCGCCCTATTATTGGAGTCCTCAGAAATGCATATCCACGATCCCGCCTCGCGAGATCCGAACCGAGGACCTACCAGTCTCTCACCAGAACACTTAACCGAAACGGCCGTCCAGCGCTTCCAGGTTTTCCATAGTGGTCTAGCTTCAATTGACTCATGGTCTCAATTCTATCGGATTACTAAAATCTCCACCAAACCCGTTTTGATACTTCAAATTTTGTTATTTAATTCAAATGTGCAGAGAAAATATGTTTTCATTCATATGGGTAGTTGATTTTCATATCTAGTTAACGATAAACTATTTAAAATAGACTGACATCATAGAATTTTCTCCTGTTCTTATTACATTTAATTGGCAACACAAAAGTAAAACAGTACTCAAAACCATTTGGAAATATAAGCACATTTTGAAATCTCCTTTCCAACAGATTGAAGAATTCTAAAAATCTACTTGTTTTTTTAATAAATGTTCTAGTTTGATTATGTCATGTAGAGCAGAAATTTCATTCAACATTGAAAAACTTAAACTCACTGGATACTCATTAACACTGAGATATTATTTTATACCAACTAGCTAGCTTTTACTTAATCTTTATTCTTTTTTGGTAGTTGACGTATAACGAAAATATAAGTTATGGATGAATACGGAAGTTATATCATTCTAGATAGAATGTTTATAAAGTTTTATTAGTAGTAGATTTATCGTTCCATTTTACTGTCCGTTGTTAACTTCACAATGACTGAACAATATCAACGCAGCGATTGTATAAAGCATTGCAGTTCGACAATACACTGACTCGGAAAATAACGTTACCCAGGGTTTTTTAAGTCATACAGGAAAAAAAACGCATTGTAACATCAAACGCACATGTACAAAACATGATCAAAGTTCCACGTGAGTATTTCATGGAGACAAATATACGGGTGATAAATTAAGTGGAAAGACTAGAATAATTCCTCTGGTCCAAATGTTTGAATAAATCACGTGTACGTGTAACAATACCGATCACTACAGATTTAGCAAACAGACAAGAAAACTTACCACATTCAAATTTATTATCACTGACTATACTAAGGCTTATCGTTCATAGTATAATTTAGTAACCCTTGCTATGACATTTTGTGCATTCAGCATCTCCTTATTACGATCAGAAATTATCTCACTATCAAAGGCGTTTATATATTTGAATATAGTTCTCACTAACTAACAAGGAATAGTTTGTTCTCGAATAAGCATAACCCCTGTAATAGTATGATCACGTTTTTTTCTTAAAAATAGAACCAAAAGGCTATTTCATGGTAATGGATGGATAAAATGGTGAATACTAGCTTAAACAGTAAGAGCTAAATGAATTTAAAAAAACGTATAGTAGTCTTACTGAAATTATTCTACCCCAGTAATTTAAAGCATTAATTATTAGTGGTATTTTTGTAACTCTGTTATTAGCTGAAGTAACTGCTGATGTACGAGTCCACTTTACTCCTGGTGAATTACGGATTCAGCCTGGTCGAGCATTCCGTTTGGAATGTGTGACGGATAGACCGGGCACATCTCCAGTTTTACAGTTTCTTGATGGGAGATCAATCACAAGTGACCAACGATTTGTGGTTTCTAGGCCATCAACTGAACGTGCAGTCATAGACGTTCCTGGAGGCCTTGATGCTAGAGACAGACAGATCATAATCGAGTAAGACTAAATTTATTGACAATTCTCACTCACCTATTTTATTCATATCATTACTAATTTCTGCTAGTTGTAGATTTATTGTAATTATTACAATAATTCAGGTTAAAATATATAGTCTATTTATACATAAATAGATAAATTAATCGGAAAAACTGAAAGGGATCCAATGAATAACCACTTTTTTAAAGAACAAAACTAAAAGTAACTGGATCCATATTTTACAAACATCTCATTGCAGGTTTCTTAGTTCACTTTTTCTGAATAAAACGTAAACATTTCATGTTTATAAAAATCTACAAATTATTGCGATCGCTTCAACCGGAGAACAGTTGTACTTCTTTGTTTGCTAATGATTTTGAAAGCATGAGAAATGTCAATGGTGTGCCCGGTGTCGAGTAAATGCCGAGCTATTGCACTGTTGAGAGCCCTGGTCCCTCGCAGCCTCAGTTTCTTAGGAACATGTTCAGAAATGTCATAGTTAAAATCACTAATCGATCTAAGCTAGACCAGTTTCATCTTATTTATGAACTCCCCAGCAGTGTACATCCCCTACTTAGTACCCGGGAATCAAACCTATAAACTTCAGTCTTGTACACGAACTTTTCACCACTAGACTCAATACCATTAATAATCATGTGCCTACTAATGACTAACCTCAAGTTGCTACTCATGGATTTTTAGTGAGGAACCGTAACCAGTGAAGTTCAGTCATTGTCAAATGTGAAAGAGTTATCCATCTAACACAAAAGATCAAGGGTTGTGTAAAACCATGCACTGATTGAAGTCAGACACTAAAAACATTGGATACCGATTGAGTGATCTAAAGCGTGATACCGAATGTGTTGTGTTCGATCACTGAGTGCGAGTTTGTGGATGGGCACTTTTGAAGAGTTTCATACTGGGACGAGACGTCTGTCTAGTGCTACCAGGTTTCCAATGGTGGTCTAGCTTAGATCAAATCATGATTTCAACTATGAAAATACTACAATCTCCACAAAACCCCCATAACAATAAATCAAATATTTATCATGTATTATAGTCGTATGATTTTACTTGATTAAGAAATTAAAAGAACCTCAACAACTCTCTTTGTAAGTTCTGTAACCTCAATTTTCAAACAGTTTGATGAAGTAGACAATTTTTCAGTGATCATTTTTTTAAAAACTGGATTTTCATGACTATGTGAGTCATCTCAGCCGGTAAAAGAAAACCTGTTAAATATATCCCTCGTATCCGACTCATTAATTAATTCGTATGTGTAACCTTCTAAGCGGTGAAATAAACGAGGATTACAAAATCTAGATTAATACAAGAGCGAACAATAAATAATTACAAATAGATGTATAGTTCAGATGTTCACTTTTCAGATCATCGCAGGAAACAAACTGTAATCGTTATCCATATACATAATGCAGTCTTTTACAAACTAGATGTTTACCAACTGACATGCCAGTTTACATCTTTAATGTCTCCAATGTTATTACTTACCAGATTCAATAAAAGATCTAACAGCCACGGCCAAAAAAAATGAATTTAAATTTTCTATGTATTTAGTTAAAAAATTAGCCGTACTAATGATCCAAGCCCAACTGTAGTATATTGAAATCAAAATAGTATTTACTGTGTTGTATCCAATCGGATGTTTACTCTGAAACAAAACATATATTCTAAATGTTTATCTTGACAACTGGTAACTTAAACAAATTCCAAGTCATTATCAGAATATGAAAGTAGATTCTCCCCATTTGTTTACTGACTTTTTAAATTTCAGATGTATATCTCCCAGTGGCGAAAGAAAAACATCAACCATCTTCATCGAACTAGGTTGCCAACCAGGACAAAGACGATGTCCCAATGGGCAGTGTATATTTGTTGGTCAATTCTGTGATGGGAAACCTGATTGCGATGATGGATTTGATGAGAGACCTGAAAATTGTGGTATATTCTTCATATTCTGCATATTATATATCCTGATTACTTATTCCCGAATTTCTGCTGTCAGTAAATACTTACTTACTTTCTTACTTACGCCTGTTACCATCCGTGGAGCATAGGTGGCCTACCGGGGTTCTCCAACCAACTGTGTCATCAGACAATCATTAAAAAATGCACCCACAAGTCATAATTTGAATCACCTTATGACAACTGTCAAAACTATATTTCAGTGTGCGTTGAAATATTTTAAATATATCAAAATTTAGAAAATATATGGATTTGCGAAAATGTATCAGCACTTATTAAGTAGGGTAGAAGGAAAATAACATAGAATGGTCTAATCAGCAGAAACGAAGTCCGGTTATAATCAGATAAAAAGTGGTGCTATATAATCTTCGATAGTACTTACATATTGTTAGGTTGTATTAATAACAGAAAGTAAACAAATGCTCTATGACTGATAACTTTTCAAAAGCAAGGAACCTTTTGAATAGACAGTATCAACAGTTAAAATATGAACTGTATTCAGATGTCGTTTTCCTCCAAGACAGGTTTACGTTATACTCTGAAATGCAATCATTATTTATCTGACGACTATTTGTCACAAAATCTAAATCTCTTCAAATCGACGTCCTGCCGAAAGGAATGGTATCATCTTATCATATACAACTCTAGAGTAAACGCTGAACATAAATGTCATTAACCTAGTATTTGATGAAAATTAACTTATTTTTATTATTTTGATTAGAATGGTGCTAACAGTTTTCTAATTCCAATGATTACAGAGTACTGTGATCCAATAACAAAACCATGTGAAATTGTGAATGGTATATCACCTAGAGAAAAAACCTATGAACTACATTGGAGATGTGATGGTGAAGATGATTGTGGAAATCGATTTGATGAACAAAATTGTTTGAATGGTGAGTATTTGTTTAAATAACGAAACTCATAATATATATATAAAGAATAAGATAGCTTTTATTGAATGACTTTAGTTCATTTTATAATAAAATGTTAATAAACTTTAAATTGTCAGAAGGCGGTTTTGTGGAGAGTTTAGTAATTTTATATAGTTGAATTCATGAGTCAATTGAAGCTAGACAACCATGGAAAACCTGGAAGCACTGGACGGCCGTTTCACCCTATTGCAGGACTCCTCAGCAGTGCGCATCCACGATCCCGCCTCGTGACTGACTCCTTGAGGTATTTTCTGGAGTTCTAGTGAGAAGCAGTGACTAATGGAGTTCAACCAGGTCTGTTGGGAGATTTCAACTCACTGAAGATATTGGTAAATGGTTGCTCAATTACGTGGATTGGTTAAAATTAGACGTTAACACCGTTGGATGCCGCATCAGTGGTCTAGTGGTTAAGCGTTGGCGCGCAAAACTGATAGGTCCTGGATTTCAACCCCGCGAGGCGGGATCATAGATGTGCACTGCTGAGGAGTCCCACAATAGAACAAAACGGCCGTCCGGTTCTTCCAGGTTTTCCATAGTGGTCTAGCTTCAATTGACTCATGATTTCAACCATATAAAATTACTAAAGTCTCCACAAAACCCCTTCAGAGAAGTTAAATTATTGTTTTCGAAATACCATTAATTATCACTATGTAAATGTTTTTCAGTTAGAATTTCTTAGTGAAAAGATGATATAAATTTTTATGTAGACTCTAATGACAAAATGTTTAAACATAAATATGTAACTGTTAAAATATTCTATCGAACTGACAATAATTAATTTGTAACGAATCAAATATCAGCTGATAGTTATCATTTCTTGCACATATTTAATAATGACATTGCTTATTAGTGAAGTAATTGTAGTTATACTTAAATAGCAATTTAATTTACAACTTATATTTTAATTTCAGACACTCGTGTACCAAATAAAGAGTGTGGTGCTACTCATTTCAGATGTGGTACTGCACCATATCAATATATACCATTTGCATACTGGTGTGATGGAGGTCGTGATTGTCGAGGTGGTGAAGATGAAGCTGATTGTTGTAAGGAAATAACCTCAACTTTTTGGCATTTTTATTTGTTTTTTTTTAATTATTATTATCAAACGAAAACAGTTTTGTAGTTAGATGTTATATTTAGGAAAAGGATCAACATAGACTAAGGTGTTATTGTTAAGGGTAATAAAAAAATATACATTAAAATCATTTTACAAAATAGTAAACCAATAATAATAATCTTTATAAAGGATATTTTGCAAGTATTTCTTTTTATGGATATTAAAAAGTATACAGATTATATAAATTCTTATATTATGAGTTAAAGCAACATATGTAAATGAACAACATTATCTACAATTTAGTCCTCATCCGGCTTTACTCTGATATACAGAAAACAACATTTTTGTTTATATATATTATTCAAACTATGGATATTATCCGCGAATTGAAATATTGTAAATTAATTAGTCCCTCCTTTAGATCATGACCGAATTATGAACAGAAGAAGAGTTGATCTGAAAAATGTGACATATTTGCAACATTTTGAACAACCAGATCACTTATATATTTTTCAAGGCATTTACAAGTAAAACTTAATGAAGATCAGTTAAAAATGAAAGTTTGAATAAACATAAAATGATGGTTGTGTAGTGAACAAAACACCGGTTGGGGACAATCGAATGTATTTGAGCACAAATTACAAACTATCTCACTAAATTTTGACAACCATACAGCAAACAGTAAATTTGCAAAATAACAACTAATTGTTTCAATCTTCACTGTTCCTTCTGTAAATATCAGTTCATCTTCTCTAATTTCATTGTTCATGCATTTTCATACCATTTGCGCTTCATTTCAGTTCTTTCCTTATCGGTCTTCTGCCAAAATACATTACATGTCTGACCATCGCCATATAATACTTATATGGATATAAGTAAACCACACTACAGTTGTAAATGAAAGAAAGAGAGACAAAACAATCAATGTGATTTGAAGAGAACATTAAATTATCACATCAACCTAGGCTGTAAAATGGCTTAAAAATGACCAAGGCCCATTCAAATTTAAAACAAACTGTTTCGGTACAAATAAAGGAGGTTTTAATTTGAGAATAGTTAGTACTGCTATAAATCTAAAAATTCCTCTTTACCGATTTTTACACAACATTTTAAATGCTGTACCGATGTCGGTTCTATAATCCATTTCATTTGTGTCTTGTTATCAAAGAACATTTTTTCCTACTTCCTAAGTTTATAGAAGCATTTTATACTAATTGATTCGCAAGCCATCTGGGCAGATATTTCATAACCCTTGATGACGTTGCTCGATTATTCATTCTTATTTATGAGTGTCAATACAAACATGTGAATGAGTAAATGGAGTGGTATGTGATACGATTGTTTGTTTGAATTTTTTGGTGCAAATACATCATATCTCTCGGACCAACTCCGTCTTCTCACCAACAGATTTTAATTGTAAATTATAATAGAACAAATCTATACTAACTTTGTGATGAGAACATTTAGAGAGAAAGAACTGGAAAGTAAATAGATTCCTTAATATCATTCAAACAAAAGTCAACTTTCTCAATGGACTATATTATTTATTTGATTAGTTTGTAAAAATATCATTTAGTCATCTACTTTTCTGAAGATTTTCTAATCTATTGTTTCGTTTCAGTTTCATATGTTCTAGTTAAAAGATAGCGAGTAGTAGAATTATTTAAATATATGAATTTGAATGTAAATGTAGTGGTAGTTTTTTATTATTATTAGCTTTATTCAATACTACATTTTTGGTACAATATAGAATTATCAGCTCAAAGTATTTCAACAACTTTCCGTTTCTTACTTCTTGATCGATCCTGACGATAAATATTGAGTGATGGCCAGTTAAAAGCTAACAGTCCAGTCAATGGACATCTAAATAATGTACATTCTGTTTGCTGCATATTGCCAAAAACCACGATGTCTCTAATTGAGCCTTTTGTAACTTGTACAGAGAAAGGTTGTACACTTTTCAGAAATGCACCTGAATAGGTCATACGATTAATAGCCATAATGATGTATTAAAACAAACAAAATTAGATAACTTGTTAAAATATCTAGATAACAGGAATAGGTAGCCCAGATGTTCAAGTAGGCTGCCTTAAGCTGGGACTTGTACCATTTACATTAACACATTTTCAATTAATTAAAATAATTTTCGAATACTGACTTTAAAAAGAAACAGTAATAGATAGTATATCTTTTAAAATCTCTCGAAAGAGTATTAGACTTCGTATAGTAATTAAAATGTATTCGTTAAATAAATTCTAATTTTGTCTCTATAAGTAATAAACTGCAAACCTCACTGTAGCTATAACGAACAGATAATCGATTAAAGTATGGAAACACTTCTATATACAATAATTACATTTCTGTAATCCAAATATCCTAAGTGAGTACTACATTTGTAAAACTAGTGATGGAAACTGTTTATTGGTTAATGTACTCTATTAACTTAATAATAGAAAGTCCTACTTTATTACATGTATATTTTGACAATTTCAATAACTTTATTCCACTTATTCTACGAATACTTCAACAGTTCGAGTTAAGATATAAAATAGTGATAATCCTGTAAAAACAGTGAAAAAATTCATCTTCGTTACATGAAAACTCATCAAAATGTGTTCATTTCTGTTTTATTCTTTATAAAATCTACGATATGCTATCAATATATTGTAAATTGTGATTGACAGTGGTGATTATTGACTTGGATTATATGTTCAAACGATTGTAAGTGCAATAATATAACGACTATAGGAGATTTTTGTGGATCTATAGAAGGTTTCAAAGTAAATATCAGTTATTGTAGTTTTCATCATTTGCATTGTGCATGTCAGTATTTTAGCTGATACCTTTTTGTTTGAAAAACATTTTTATTATACTCAAATAATAATCAAAATAGTTTTTGAAATTGATTGCTAGTGTTTTAACTATCTTTCAGCGCCACCTACTATAATTCAAACTCAACGTCAAGAAACTCATAGAGTTCGTCCTGGTGGTAGACTGATTTTAGAATGTGAAGCATCCGGCGTTCCACCACCTATGATTATTTGGCGTTTCAATTGGAGATGTCTTCGTGATGAAACACGAATGAGGACCCAAGCTGTGCCAAGTTCGCTTGAATGTAAGGGTTCAAAAAGTCGTCTAACGATCGAAAACTTCAGGGAAGGTGACGATGGAATTTACAATTGTGAAGCACTGACATCGAAAGAAAGAGCTATGTCCCAGGATATATTTGTTTTTCTATCTCCTTAGTTATGTTTTCATTTTCAAGTGATATTATAAAATATCAAGTTGAATTAATAGTTATGTTATCATTTTATCATATATTTTTCAAATTTCTAATTTAATTCTATATGCCAAAATAGCAATGTTCTGAATTTCACAATAGTATATCTTTAAATCATCATACAATTAATTTTGCCCTTTGGAATTTTAATTTTCAAGTTATACGTTATTCTGTTATATGAAATTTTAAATATAATGCTTAATTGAAGAGATTCCAACTTTTAGTAAACCATTTACAAAATTTTAAGCTCAGAGATCAAAGCATACTTACTTATACCTGTTATTCTTCAAGGAGGAGAATAGGCTACCCACCAACATCCCCCGTCCAACCCTCTCCTCAGCAATCCTTTCCAGTTGTTATTCATCCTCTCTACGTCTCGGACCAAGTGTCTTTTTTGACTTTCCTCTTTTCCATTTACCTTCAGGATTGCAAATTATCACTTGTCTCGTGATACAGTTTGATGATTTCCGTAATATATGTTCTATCCACTTCCAACGTATTTTCCTAATTTCCTCTTCAGCTGCAAGCTGGTTTGTCCCCTCCCAAAGAAGGTTGTTGCTGATGGTGTCTGGCCAGTGAATGTAGAATATTTTGTGTAGAAAAGTGTTTATAAATACTTGTACCTTCTTGACAATGGAGATGCAGTCTCATGGTAGCAAGGACCGCATTCCTACACTTGAAGAACATATGGAACTGAGAACAACTGTCAACCAATATCAAAGTCAAAATCTTCATTGCGAACGTCAAGACAGTCCTACTGTACGGAGCTGAAATATGGAGAACTACTACAACCATCATCAAGAAATTAAAACTATTTATAAAAAGTTTTCTACTCAAGAGCAATAAACCCTTATTCATTTATGTTCACATGTTGATTTTATTTATGATGAGAATGTGAGTCGTCAAGTGTTCTTTATTCCAGTTTTGAAGCTCCATAATTGACGTTAATTAGACAAGTATCGGAAGCCAGCAATCACTGGACAGTTTAGCGTCATCCATAATTAGGTGCTATGATCCTTCACTTATCGTCTTCCCAGATCCACTCCAAAACGTCTCTAATTTTTTTGTCTATTAAGCACTATCCTATAATTATAGTACATTATGACGATTTGAGTAATCCTGTAGACTTTTCCTAGGTATAAATGCTATGCATGTTCCAATACAAGTAGACTCTCAACAGCTCTCTTCATCGAGTTTCTTTTCAAAGCCCTTCAGATAGACGTTCATCTATATAAAGCTACTTACAAGGTTAGTTTCTCCATAGGTTAATATCACCTCGATGGTCCTCTACACTCTACAAACTCTAGGAGTAACAAAATAAACGTTTCCCATAACAGAGCATGAACCATTCACAAATGCGCTATTGACTTAAGACAAGTGAATAAACACTTCACTTTCACGTTCGTCTATCTCCTTTAATAGTGAATGGCCCAAAGATATCCAACCCACAATACTCAAAAAGATATTTACAGGTGTATGGCTAGTGAAATGTGATTGACCAGTGAGCATAGATGAACAGACAGATAGAATACTGACTAGTTGTTGCCTCATCTACTTGGTTACGGTAGAATACGATATATAACTAACGACACTAAAACTTGTAGACCACCCACAGTTACAAATCAGAAAGCGGAAGAAGCAAAAAAAAGTTATTATTGGATAAGAGTCAAAAATGTACTGAAAGATAGGTATGTTTATCGTTAATAACGTTGGTTATAACATCACTATAATTCAGCCAACACTATTAAACATGTGACAATTGAGCTCTACTCTGGACTCAGTGATTATAAACTACTTGTAACGAGGTTAACTAAAGTATTTTTTTAGTCTATAGTCTATCCATCTATCCATACTAATTCAAACTTCACCCCATTTCACAAGCAAGTGGTCATCAGGACTCAGTAGCTGAGTGGATAACGCGATGGCGTTTGGAGCGAAAGGTACTGGGTTCGGGTCTCAGAGTGAACACCAACTCTGAGATGCAGGTACATTCAGCTGACGAGTCCCAAATAGGATGAAGTGCGCGTCCTGGATTCCACTGCTGGCTACTATCAATCTTTGCTTAGTAATGTACATATTTGCAAAAATGATATTAAATGTTAGTCACACAAAGTAAACAATAACTGCTACACCTTGACTAACCACCTGTTTGAATGTTTCATAATGCTAGATGCAATGGTAATATAATAATCAACATAATCCAAAAGTACTCATCTCATTCAGGTGAAGTTTTATTCTTTGAGCTGAATAGTTTGGTCGTGGAACATTCATTTTCCTTCTGAACAACATAATCAGCACAAACTTCAGGTAGAAGTGACAGAATAAACTGTGAGTCATATGTGAAGAAATTCAAACACTTTTACCTGAAGTACGTGTTGATGTTGTTCAAAAGAGCAATCAAAGCTCCATGACCAAACCATCCAACTCAGAGAACAAAACTCCATCAAAATTATCTACTTGAGTTACAAATCTCCACAATCTTAAAGTATCATTTTATTTCGTAGATTTTTCTGACGTTTAAATTATATTATTTGTTGATTTTAAGCAGTATAGAAAAAAGTAGAAGAAAAATATTCTTTTATTTCTGTTTATAAAATTAATCATGAAGAGACGGACAAATAAATTTTTCTAAAGAAAAAGAAGCAGCAATTTCTGTCTGAAATAATTTTTGTGCAATTTGTTAAATTATTTTTTTTCACCTAAAGCACGTTCCATCAAATTGATATTCGCTGTGATTTTTGAATGTTGTACCATAAATTCAGCTGCAACTTTGGCTTCGACTAAATATTGTATAGACTTGTAAGTAAAGAAATAAAATATGCGAAATCAATAATAAATAAAATAGTAGTGCAAAAAATTATGCGACAGTAATTCTTTTTGGCAATTTAATTTATATAGCTTTGTTTTGATAAAAATTCAAATGCACATTTAGTAGAATTTTGAAGATATCCCTTGAACATCCTAAGTTTAAATATTTTATAAGTAGTTTGACAATGCGTTGAAACAATGAATCGATTAATGCTAGACCACCATTAAAGACCTGGGAGCATTAGATGGCTGTTTAGTTCAAGTATGGGATTCCTCAGCAGTGAGCATCCACGACCCCGCAAGCTGGATTAAGATACTGAACTTTCAGTCTTGTGCGAACGCGAAATTCAACAACCTCCACAACTTCATACTGAAAATTACTATGTGTTTACCTTTGAAAGGTGATTTTCGAGGTTTTGGTGAGAAGCTATCATCAGTGAAGTTTAACCGTATCGGGTGTGAGACAATTAGCCACTGAAAACAATGGAAGATGGTGACAGGGTCGTGAATGCGCACTGCTGAGAAGTCCCATATTAGGACCAAACGGCAGTCTAGCGTTTTCAGGTCTTGAATGTTCTAAAATTGATTGGTTCATGATTTCAATGCAATCAAAAATTTCCATAACTCTATACTGAAAGTTTGACATTGTTCTACTTTGTTGTTAATGTACTACTTTTAAGATGCCTATAGTGCAATAATCATATATTTTTGACACAATTTTGACTTATTAAGTTCGCTGATATTAATTCAAATGCAAACTTTCTGTGCACAACGTTTTATTAAAAATAAACAAATCTGCCATGTGTATTTTTTGTAATCGAATAACAGAATCTAAGTAACTACATTTTTTGATAGTGCCTCATCGTTTTACGACTACTTATACTTAAATATCAATAGAAGTTTGCCTGTTTATGTTAAGACAAAATAAACTAGTTACTTTGTCTAAACATAGTAGGAAAACCATCATATATGTAGACAGGGTAACTTACATACGTCACTTTTAATATTTCATTAACGTGTCCCAATATATCTTCATTCAAAAAAATTAAGGGTTCCAGTAGCGTTATTTCTGCATACATCAGGTATAAATATGCTACAATAACTGGTGGAAAATTAATTTCCATTCTAATATTCACATGCCTGAGACCACAAATATGTGTCAGTCTCTTATTTCATGGTACCCTAATCCTTATTAGAACGCACTGCATTTGAGGCTTTCGTTTATTTCACTACGTTATTACATTGTTTTTCAGCTCTTTGCTAGAGTATAACTTAATTCCTTAGTTACCTTACAATAAATCATGTTATTTTTAGTTAACATTCAGTTTTTCTCATGTGTTCCAATACGTTAACTACTTAATCTCACTAATATTAAAGTGACTCAAAAAATCACTTTGAATATCTAAGCAGTATTTATCAAGGAATTTGCATTTTGAAAGGATAACTGTAGAATACCTAAGTTACAGATTGATTTGAATGAAATTACTAGTCTAAAATCTCCTAGATAGAGTTTAGTATGACATCCATATTATTTACAATTAACTAATAAACCTGTGTAAGAGTCTCTAACAACATTTTACGAGATTAAGGTCAAAATATCTACATGAATTCTTGATATACATACTAGAAAGTACATAAGAAACTTTAGAGAATAGTTTAAAATCTGATTCTATTTTAAAAATGTTAAATGCTTACTTCTTGTTTTCTTTCTAAAATATAGTTTAGCATTGACAAAGTTAAATACAATTGAACTTTTGGATCTGGCTTGGCTGGATTACAAGTAATTGCATCGGACTCATTTTCATTGATACGCTGATTACGATATTTCTCAATTGCATACAGCATTTTTCCAGCTTCAGCCTTTTGTGCATCATCTATTAATTATAACCAGTATATTTTTTTTATTAAAAAAAGATACAATAATAAGATGTCTCATTAGTTGGGTACACACAAAGAGATCAATTCTAGTCTTAAATACTTAGTCTACTCGAACCGGTTTTTTAGCGAGTTAGTTTTCTACGGGATGGGGTCGCTAACCCCATGCCCAACCCTCCTCCTTTACCCGGGCTTGGGACCGGCAGTAGCCTCCGGAGGCGCTACAGGTGGCTCTTCTAGAAGTAGCTTGTAGAATTATTTAAAAGGTTTGACAGTTCGATTATGAAGGAATACGGTTACTAAAATCATCATCTTAAAACTGATCCTTGCAGTTCTATATTCTATCTTGATCTTACACTTAAAACATCTAATTTTATAAGTTATTACTTCATTTTTCTCCTTATTCACTTTCGCCTAATATTTGTGAAGTAGATATTTATCATTCATGAATGATTTGTTTTTAAGTTACTGTTTTGGATTATCATTTAAACTATCAAGCAACTTCTCTAACCACTGTAAAACATTTCCAATTACCTTTTTACTAACTCAATATCCTTCTATTTTATTAGACTTATTTATGATATGAAAATATAAATACAATTATATCGTTTAAGTAAGTGATTTTTCTCGCAGTACAATATATCCATCATTTCACATTTAAAGATAATTTATAACAAGCTTGTATAAGAAATTTTGCTATATTGTACTCATTGGCGAAGGATATTAGGAACCCTGAAGAATCTGATGTTTTCTAAGGTATTCCAGTCACATATGATCGAGTAATTGAAAATAACATTACGGGACTGAATAAATCACGGCTGACTACATTAAAGGACTGAAATAGATGAACTAATCACACAGTGAGTAGTAAATAACATCATATATAGTACTTAACGTTACGATTAATTTTGTTGTGAAAACAGTCGCGATGTCACGTTAACAATAATCCTCTTTATTTGTTATTGAATAAATGAGGCAAGAAAAATGGATCCTACAATATCACAAGACAAGTTCTACCATTACATTCCTTCACTATATCAATAGGTAAAACTGATAATTTACGGAGTTTCGGAAGAAAAGGAGAAACGACAGAGGAGTGATCACTATTAGATATTGTGTACTCTACTGCTAAGTACACAGGGCAGAAATAATAATAGACTTCAAACAGTGAATGACAGTTTTTTTAAAAATAAACGACACATTTGATAAAAATAATAAGAAAAAATGCGGAAATCTGATGCCAGAGGAAGGTGATAAATTGCCAGATTAATTGTGGACAGATAATCAGTTCGAAATATCAGCAACAGCAACAGCCTGAGCTCTTGATTCTTTATGACATTAGCTTAACTATAATGATACAATTTTAGGAAATTTTCGAGTAATTTTTTAGGTTCGGTACAATGGAGTTCATTTAAAGCACAAAACCTACATATAAAATACTCCAGAAGTAGACAATAGCAATCCCTCGAATTTCTTAGAAACTTTCTGTACAGTAGACCTTACAATCTGCAACACTCAAAAAAGTTGGTTTTGATATCAGAACTAAGTACGTGTGGTATTTGTACTAACTAATTATTCCTCTGTACCTGACTGTGAGCTTCTTACGAATTTTAAATACGTCCAGTTATGTTCATCTAGTTCTACCTGCCTTAAATTGCACTATTTCGGGAATTCTTAGTTAGCTAATCAACTTCGAATCCTGAAGGAAAACGGAAAAGAATGAGGCCAAAGAACACATTGCATCAAAAATGGGAAGCAGACATCAAGAGGATGAATAGCGACTAGAAACAAGTGGAATGGTTTGCTCAAAACAGAGTTCGAAGGAGAACGCTGGTGGGCGGCCTATTCTCCTCAATGAAGAGTAACAGACGTAAGTAAGCAGTTACTAAATCAATCTGAATACTTCTAACAATCATAGTAAGGTATTGTTAAACATGCTATTACCTAAGGTTTGTTTAGCTTCTTCAGTAATCTCCACCATAACAGCACCAACGTCTTCAGAGGATACAGGTTTGAATAACAAGCTTTCTACTAATTCCCTTAAATGTTTGCCCCATATATTAACTACACGTATATACAGATTGTCAACCACTTGAGCTTTTGATAAAGGCGGTTGAATGCAAAACTCTGAATTTGTTGAAAAACTGACGTTTGATTTCATCTCCCTTTCATAAATCAATAGACCGTAAGACTTATTTAGTTTAATTATTTCTGAAATTTCTGGAGTAACTGAAGGATACACAAATTCAGCTGACTTTTCTGGAAAGTTTTGATCATGAGAACCTTTATTGACATTGGCTTTATACATTGCATAAAACACTTCAGCCATTTGAAAATAACCACCAGCTGTACGTATATGATCGGTGCCATATTCAAGGGATGCATAAAATATCTAAAAATAGGATATAATAATGTGAGACGCAATATTGAGAAATGAGTAGATACCAAATAAAGTTATAGGACGTAAAATACGAGAAATATACTAAAGTGTAAATCAGTGAAGCAAGGTTCTAGACAGTACTTATCAGGAAATGAAAACGATTTGTTACTGTTTGTAGTTCGCAAAACTTGGTAGCATCAATGACCAGCGTTTCATTGTACCCTAAGTTTTCTTCTACCTGGGTCCACAATTGATAACTACTGATACTTACCAAACAGTTTGTGGTGTTTTATTGTGGGTTGAATGGTTTATTGATGACGATAATTTTAGATAACATGACGTTTATCCTTTTAACTAACGAAATGTTTTTACCAACCTCAGTTCTTTTACCCTGATTAAAAAATTATCCCATTATTTTAACTTTGACTTACCATAACTTGTCGCCTTAGTTTAAAATGTACGTAGAAGCATACCTACACATATATTTGACGATACTGAAATATTCAATAATTATAAGAAAGGATAAAGAGCTTAGTAAACTCACATCTTTCGCCAAACACTCCAATGCTAGTTCATAATTACATTTAGCAGCATATAACAAACCAAGTTTACGATGTAACTGTGATTGTATACTATTTGAACATTCATGTTGTACTTTAAGTACTATCCACTGAGCTTGTGCAAGGTAAGTCTCAGCTTGATTCAGTTTCCCAAGACCTAGATAGTGAAAATAGTAATCAAGCTAATACGCATATTATTTATTAATTCTCAATGATCACGTTTTGAAGTCATTATTTCTTCTAACTTACTCAAAAAACTGATCCAAAAAACACCAAGAACTAGAAGGTGTATAGCCACAAGAGATAGATTGCTGATAAACAACTGAAACAGGAAACTAGAAATCGAAACACCTACACTAGTTATATTGAAGGGATGAAGAGAAAGTTTGTAATGATCCATCAACAAGTTATAAACAAGTACAAAATGCTGAAAAAAGCTACGTATTCGAATTCATGTGGCTGTGTTTAGAGGAGCGCATTCCCCTTCAAATTGAAGCTTTAAAGGTTTCTACAAATAGATTTGCATTTACCAGTTTTGTAAGATATTTATATAGAAGTTATATTTAATCGTACTTAGAAGTTTTCTGATAAGGTTGGAATACAAATGAAAGATCACAGGTTCTGTGGATTTAAAATCCTCACTTATTAAATGTAAGTTATTGCTTCAGAACCAGTCACCGGGACTGTTTGATTAGGGAAAGCGGAGTGGTTCAGTAAGATCCAAACTCTGTCTGTGTGAGGATCATCATCAATCCTGATTAGCAACAAAATCCTGGGAATGATAAGTCTTTTCTGGCATTAGCCAAATCTCATCACCAGTAGCCTCGGTTCGATTCCTCAAAGCTAATCAAAGAGCTAACACAATGCTAAGTAGTAGTATGAGGTAGCATCTGAGGCCCCAGCAATTTTGTGACCCTTGCATTACAATAGAGAACGAATTTTAAAGAAGATTCATATGCGCAACCACCTGACTGTGTTTATAGGCGAACATCGAAATACTAGAGATTTAATAAAAAAGTGTAAGTTGGAAACACATTCAAGAATTTTGAGCATAATATTCTTTCATACTTCTTTGGAAAGTATTTGACCAATAATTCAACTACTTACCAATACATGATTCCGCAAGAACTAGATAGGGTGATACTAATTCAACACAAGCTATTCCATATGCGCGCACTGCAAACTTCAAACATTGTAAAGCAGCTGGTAGGGCTTCCTCTGATTTTCCTTCAAACAAAAGTTTCTGAGCCTCCAGCTGAGTAAGCCGGACCAGATCAAGCTGCATAAATTGGATAACACGAAACATTTGAATCAATAAACCAAGTTTCGAAGCTCACTCTAAATTTAAAACGACATACTTCAATATATTTGAGATACAATAGCGAAATTAAATAACTACTCACAAGGTTCACCAATGTATAACATAGGGAAACTCTTATTTCTGACTACTTAAACAAACGCCGAAACGATTTTTGAAGTAAACTACTTAAAAGTAACTTTTAATGGGTTAAAACTATGGAGAAGTGTCATTTAAAGTGAAATTCGAACAAGCCAATGGATAGTTATAGAAATAAAGCGAAATCAAGGTTGTCTTATAAGAAATGAGCTAGGTAATATTCGACCTTCAGGAATTATAGACTAGTCACTTACAATATATGTTTAATGATTTGTGTCGGGCTCCATTTTCCTCATCGACTGATCAACGACTTGGACATCCCACCCAAACATGTAACATAAGCCTCACTAGTGAACACTTGTAAAGGGAAACTGGATTTTCCCTGGAAAATATAACACGAGGATTAATACTAGTTAACCGACCTACTATCTTTATTATTGAAGGCTAAATTTGCAGCGAAACTAGTGAACTCAATATGCACTCGCTGAGTTGCAGATGGACAACTGCTATGAAACATGTATCCCATAATAATTGTCTAGTTAGAATCATCATAAAAAATGACCCTAGGCTGAAATGTCATTAGAAAATTGTCTCGATAGGCAAGTGACAAACTGTGTACAATCTTAGGATATTGAAATATAGTACTAATAAAATACAAACAAAGTATATTTTGTACTCAGGCCCACCACTAACATGTTTTACCTTGGTAACCATATCGCCTATCCCCCTGTATCAAAAGTGTGATAGGGGCTTCTCACCAAACATAAGTATACATATGCAATTTAAGTGCACTTACATTTTTGTTTTGAAGTTCCTCACTTTTCTTCTCACGCTTGTCCTTTGATACAAATCCTTTAGATTCTCGAAACGATATTAAATCCAAACATATCTTTTTATGAATTCCTTCCCAATCAATTTTTTGATGCTCTATTCCACTAGAAATATAATGCATTCATATGATAGTGGTCAAACCAATAATACGTGATCCGGCAAACCCCACATTGTAAGTAGGCTGGTTTAGAGCATACTTCACAACTATGTTCCACGCCTTTTGGGTTTGCAAGAGGATAAAACGGAAAAGCTGCTGGGAGATGTCTCATAATTGTGTGTAACGTTCAGTTTTAATAGGTCTGTGTTCAACCTAAAGGTAACTTGCAGGCTGGAGAAGTATGAACAATATGTAGGAGGATTTGAAAGAGAAAAAAACAAGACAAAAATTGAGCCAAAAACTCAGTGAGCACATAAAAGGAACTTAAATTTAGTGAAGAGACTATACTATACCAATAACATCGAGCGACTGGTCAAAATTAAACTGACCAATACGATAATTTAAAACGTTATTGCGGACAGCCCATTCCGAAAACTCATGGTTTCCATTACATTTTTGGTTGAATGATGGTTTTCTTGTGGAATGAATTGTTAAGGTCAGTATATTCACGTTAGCAGAGTTAAGGGTAGGAGTTAGTGTTTAGTAGTTTTAGGATTAAGAGCCAGGGCTAAAAGTATTAGTGTTTAGAGTATTAAGGTAAACAGTTAGGATTGCGTTTTAAGGTTAGCAGCTGGCATTTTCAGTATTTGAGGTTAAGGTAGACCGGTTCTAGGATTAGGAGTTGGGTCTTAAAAGATATAGAGTCCAAAATTAGTCTATCCTGACTATAGAACCATGATATCCAACAGAAAAACCTACACTTAACATTGGCAATTTTAAATTTTGCAATGCCTTAATCTCAAGGCCTCTAGCCAGAATCTATTTTGTATACTAAGGGGGAGCGTGCAGAGCACATTGAGAAGAGCTGAAGAAAAGAACAAAAGAAGGTACCAGACTGACCAAGCTAAACCTATTCCCGCTGTCATATAGGAGAATCAGAGGCGACTTGATTACAGTTTTCAAATTGCTTAGTGATAAATTTGCACCTGATATGCCCTCATTTTTCTTGTCTTCCGAAACAGAAAATCTACAAGGACACTCCAAAAAAATTCACAAGCCCAGAACGAATTACTTGTCAGCTGACTACCGACTTCCCCATCAAATCATCGAGCGAGTGGAATTCATTACCTCAGCACGTGGTTGAGGCTCCATCCATCCACCTCTTCAAAGGAAAGTTGGATCAGCTGAGAGACCATCATTGCCAGGACTAATACAGGCCATCAAGCCTCCTGTCCTTTCCAAACTGAAACTGAAAAGGTAGATCGACTACCCAGAAAGAACACAAAATACATTCACACTTAATAAGAAAAGCAATAGGAAATAATTCGCAACGAAACATGCCACAGGTTAAGACAAATTTGAAATCAAAACTGGGAGTAGATAATTTGATGCGCTAGAATGAGTCAATTTTAAAAAACCTACCGCGAGTTGCCATAGCTACCACCTAGTTCAAATGGTTCAAATGGTTCAAATGGTTGAGGACGGAATAGAAGAAGCTTTCGCTTAACGGGCTTCCGTGTCTGGTAGCAGTGGATCACCAATACCTCCAGGCAAAAACCTAGGTATATGAACGATAATAGAGGGAAAAAAGGAATTTGGTAAATCATAATAATATGTTATCCTTAGTCCTTAAGAATAAGTCAAGTTTTCTCTTAAAGGACTCCTGGGAGGTCGCTTGGACTAGCTCAGTCGGCAGCGAATTCCAGCACTTGACAACTCTAACGGAGTAGAAGTTGTGTCTGCAGTCTGTTCTGCTATGTAGGGTCTCCAATTTCTGGGTGTTACCTCTGAGATTAGTGTTATGACTAAGCTTAAGAAGTTGTTTAAGGGGATGACCAGAAGTATTAAGGATACTATAAGTCATAAGAAGATCACCTCTAAGACGCCTATACTCTAACGGGTAAAGGTTAAGTGATTTGAGGCGCTCTTCATAAGGTTTGAATTTGAGACCCCGAACTGATTTCGTGGCTCGACGTTGTATACGTTCCAGAGTGACCTTATCCTTTTGGAGGGAGGGAGGAAATACTATGTTTCCGTACTCTAAGTGGGGACGAATAAAACTGTTGAAGATTATATGGAAGGTTCTACCGTCAAACTGGCCAAAAATGCGCTTCAATGTTACCAGTGCAAGGTTTGCTTGAGAGGCGTTTTTGTCACAGTTCGCATACGATTTCAGGTCGTAGGGTACCAACACTCCTAAATCTTTTTCAACTTGGGAAACTTCTAGAGGTGAGTTACCTAAGTTATAACTATAGTCTGCAACATGTCTCAGATGGACTACCTTGCACTTTGAAGTGTTGAAGGTAAGTCCGTTGTCGTCTGCCCAACTTTGAAGTCGAGTCAGATCCTCCTGCAGAACTAGTATATTATTGTGCGTACGTATCTCCCTCCAAAGTTTCACATCATCAGCAAAAAGCAATAAATCAGATGAAACTTGTTGAGGAAGATCGTTAATATAAATCAAGAAGAGAAGAGGTCCTAGTATTGAACCCTGGGGGACCCCACGATTTGAGGCGCTCTTCATAAGGTTTGAATTTGAGACCCCGAACTGATTTCGTGGCTCGACGTTGTATACGTTCCAGAGTGACCTTATCCTTTTGGAGGGAGGGAGGAAATACTATGTTTCCGTACTCTAAGTGGGGACGAATAAAACTGTTGAACAAGTTTTAATTTTTGCCAATGCCAGCACAGTAATTGTGTTTTTTGATCGTGCAACATGTTCAGAAGCGTAATTAGGAGCCTAACGACCTGTATTGGTTAAAAAAACCGAAATTAAAAGCTCTATGATTCTTCAACAATTACGTTGATCCCATTAGTTTTACTGTACACACGCCAGATAAAGACGCTAGATCACGCATCCGCACCAGACCACGAGTGGATACGCTGTTCTACGCATCCGTTGCAACTGCTAGCTATATAAGACCAAACGCTTCTCGACATATCGATAACCTACAAAACATATTTTCGAACTCCTTCATTTCTGACATCTTATTTGACTGAATTATCATACGTCGATTAAAATGGTGTTAGGGGTAAATGTATTGTCAAACCCTTAATATCTGCAGCATCTTCAACTGGAACTCGTCACCTGAACGCGTGAAGGAATTTCCATCTACCAGCGCTGGAATAATAATGTTTTGGAAATTCCACCATTGTAAATATCGATTACTTATATCACCTTAATTTTCATGTTAAATTGAAATGTTGGCCAACAAACATAACCAATAATTGTTGTAAACGGAATAACATATTGGAAAGCAAAATATGAATGGAGAACAACCATCTTTAAAAGTTCTTGCATGTGCTGCCATGAATAACTTGTTTTTATAAACACGAAATCAACTAAATGTCTGAATCTACGTGCTGTTATTTTCATAGTTTCAGTCAAACAGGAACTAGTTGACAAAGTTACTCTACGATTCCTAGTGCAACATGTTAAAGAAGCAACTACTTGCATCTCGGACTCCAAATCCTGCTTGCATGATATCATATTGACCAATTATGAGGATGACGTCACTCATAGATAAAAGTTACTATGAATCCCTAGTCCCTGATGTTCATATCACGTCAGCCCAACCCAGATCATCAAACATGTTAGAAATTATGCACTCAAAATGCTCAGTAGATTGAACAATAAAATCAGAGTCCTTCTTTGAAACGGCAAACATTCAGGAGCTTGTACACAAGATTCACTATTTCTCCCATCCGTTGGGCTAATACAACGAATCCGTTCTCAGTAAAAGAAAAATAGCATGGCAGAGATTCAGGATACCGAGACAGAATCTCAGTATGGAGAAGCACGAAATATTTGTTCATCAACCCTCTGCAAGTACAAAAGCTTGTATGGAGAAAAACTTGTCAAAAAATCCATATAATATCCCAAACGTTTGCATTCGTACATTAACTAAAGGACTGAGAGGAGATGCGACATCCTGACATTACGAGGAGACATTAGTACTACATCATCGGTGAATTAGGGCTAAAGCAAACCTCAGGTATTCTGAAATTACCCTAGCAGTGTATATATTCATACAAACTCCTACACACACTTTCTGGATACCATGATTATTAAAGTATTCGAGGTGTTCTTCCTGTTTTAAAATTTTTAGGAAAGATGATCCAAAAGGAATTTTCCTAAGTGTATAGACGGAGAGCAACATGGCTCTTGAGCAGGTTATCCATATCTCACTGACTTCACTGGCCTAATTAAAGCTTTTAAAAAGTTCCTAACACTCGGCTGTTACTTTAGTTAAGTGATATTGGGATGGGAGGCAAGTTACAGATGTGGATAACAGATTTCTTAGTTGGGCATCAACAAAGAGAACGGCTTAACTCCGATTCATCTAGCTGGGAAACTGTGCTTGAGGGGTACAGTTTTGGAGCCAGGATTATTCATAATGTATTTAAGTGACCTTCTTAGTCTTAGTTCATCTTCGGCTTTGTTATATGCTGACGACACCAGGACATGGACAGAAATAAAAGTAAAGACGGTGGTTTGGAGATTATTTTATCGTTTATTTATTTCAACACATAAATTGTTAAGTAGGCTTACAGTAAACTCTATCAGAGCCTCCAGAGGCTCATAAAGAGCCCCAACTAATCAGCGATTACTTTGGAGTTGTGTGAAGTTAGGTTACTAAAATAACGAGATCCTGATTGTCTGTTTAACATACTGCTACTATGGAAAATCAAGGTCTCTTAATTATTATAAAATCCTTGTATTTTCTGTACATGAATGAACCCCGTAGTAAAGTGCTTCTCTCATACTCGTGTCTTTTCTCTGGTCTTCAAGTTGGTGTATAGTTCTAGCTCGAGGGTACGGAACTAGTCTTGGGAAGCGAATATAGCGTTCAAAATCGGTCAGACGTAACAATTAGCTACAGCCAAGGTCAAATACATAACATAAATATTGGTACAAAGGGGCACCAGATATATATGCGCCACACAAATCTCATTTGATTTGCGTGACGGCTGTGATACTCCTCGAGTGCCCAAACCGAAACATGTAGTTTTCTTAGGTGGTCACACCCGGAGACTTTGACCCAGAGATCTGATCCACAAGGCAGTGGAGCATCGTGAGGAGATGCAGTCCCGTGGTAGCTGGTGACCAACAATTGATTGATACGCCATTTGTTTCCTTAGGATGCTGGAGCCTATGTGCTCCGTTGGTTTGAAATCAGGGTTTTCCAACTCCCCTAAGTGTAGTTTCCGTATCCATCAACCCTGTTAAAGCGCCAGGTATTTGCTTTCCGTCCTTTTATTTTCGTAAATAACATTATTGCCACGAGAAGGCAGTAAGTAGGACTTCACTGTAGAGGCTGTATACGCATGGCCATGTGAGAGCATTTCGAGAGAGCGGACTCTCCCCACCCTCGGCCCTACCAAGACATTTGGGAACAAAACAAATATATTTCTGGCGGGGCAAGTACACGCCATTTTTACAGGCATGATCTACAATTTGCGACATTGGTTTACCTACAGTATGCTTCCCAAGCAGGGTAGTTAAATAGATGAGATCAACAAAGGTAAATAAAAGTAAATTCGTGCAGATGTCTTAGAGTGTTAATGATTACGTTCATGCCTTAGTACTACATCGAGTATAGTTTTTAGAATATTTTCCAAAATGGCATTGCGTCCACATTCCACACTGAATCCAATCTCGGCATAATTGTGTTCAAATTCTCGTTGCGCTAAGTATTTATGAAACACGACTTTTTAAGCTTTTAAATGTTATAAAGCATACTCGTAGAGCGCTTGGTGTGGGCTATGACCACGAGGAAACGCTTACGCCCAGTTCATTCGAGGCATCAAGGGCTCCATAACTGTGGCCAGAAAGCGAGATGCTGAAAAAAATTAACAAAGGAGTAGCAAGACACTTTGATATGAATGCTAAACAATGCTTAATGCTTTATGTGGAACAGACTAATGTATGATAAGTTAGTCCATCAAACTCATACTTCTTGTTGCTAGAGTGAAATATGGTTAGAGCCTCCAGACAAAAGAATCCAGTAATAAAGAAAATGAGTTATTATATTTAACACGGTGGGGTAGGTCCAAATGATGGAAGGGAAGTCAAAGTTAGAATAAGGAAGGCTGTTTATTAGAACGGGAAGTGCATCAAAATAGTAAAGTGATACGAAACACTAATAACTACATCATTTATTGCCTGATTTGTTCTAGTTTTTTTCATCTGATATCAGTTACACAGTCCTAGTGTAAAAGTCCGAGTTAGCATGTTATAGTAGTATAGCTAATACAGCATGAAATTGGAAATATGAGTCTGAATAGTGAGTGTAAGAGAACAACGTTAATATCGCCAATTGATTGCCTCCTTCTCAATCATGAAGATATCAAGGGCTTTATAGCCCTTTGTTCAATATACAGAGCCTTCAGCTATTTTAATTTTAAACCTTTTTGACTCTA